CAAATTGGAATTCAGAAGTAGAAAAAGTCTTGAAAATTATTTTGCAGGGCAATCTTTGGAAGGTCAAAAGACCACTCTTAATTTTTGTGGTAGTTGTTAGTGACTGGAGTGGTGATGCAAATTGGGTGGAGCTGATCATCTCATACACACAGGTAGGAATACAGGTAGTCCTCGATTTACAAGCAATCACTTAGTGACCATTTGAAGAAAATGGTATATAAAAAGGTACTTATCACCATTTATGACTCTTGCAGCATCCCCATGGTCACATGAGCATAATTCAGGTGCTTGACAACTGGAATGTATTTATGACAACTGCAATGTCCCAAGATCATGTGATCACCATCTGTAACCTTGCCAGCTGATTTATGGCAAGCAAAGTCAATGGGGGAAACCAGAGTTGCTTAATTACTGCATGATTCACTTAATAACTGCAGATTCACTTAACAACTGTGGCAAAAAGGTTGTAAATGGGATGCAACTCATTTAACAACTGCCTTGCTTAGCAACAGAAATTTTGGGCTCAATTGTAGTCATAAGTTGAGGACCATCTGTATTACCTTTTTAGAATAGAATAGAATAGAATAGAATAGAATAGAATTCTTTATTGGCCAAGTGTGATTGGACACCCAAGGAATTTGTCTCCAGTGCATATGCTCTCAATGCACATACAAGCAACAAGTAATAAATCATGATCATAATGATCATATTATCTTTTATATATTTTTTTCATGGAGAATATGCAGGTTTATTTATTTTTAAGTTTATTTAAAATTTTGTTCTGTTCTTTTATTTCCTGTAACTACGTTTTATGGTTTTAATTAATTTGAAGTAAAGATGGGAATGAATTAGAATTAAAGGAAATTCTAATTACATCCCCATCACCACTGTTTTATAATTCTTATGACTGAAAGGAAGAAAAGAGCACCTAATATTTTAAAGCACAGTTCGACAATTTGGCACCCTCCAGATATTATTGGCGGCACACCCTCGATGTAGGAGATGACCAGTCTGAGCCTGAGAAAGGGGTCAAACGCACGAGAGATCAAAGTCTAGCCCATCTTGAATTCCTTCTATTCTTATCTCCTGCTAATTTCCCTTAGCCTATTAGTAGTTCAGATTTTTGTAGAGAGCTTAAATTTGCAATAAATCTTTATATCCATTTGAACTGTCTGGCTCTCCTGATTTTCCTGGTGCTTGACACTTACCAATGAATACAGTAAGAAACTGCATTTCATTTTGAAGTTTCAGGGATTCCAGTGCTTATTGGATTTTTAGTTCCTTGGAAGGAAATTATTGAAATTATGCCTCTATAACATAATTCCTGTTCTCACCAATATTCTTGGTCAGCCTAAGCACCACAGAGTTTCTTCCATAGCCTAAGCCAGGGGTAGGCAACCCAAAACACTCAAAGAGCCACTTGGACCCGTTTCCCACCAAAAAACAAAACACTGGGAGCCGCAAAACCCTTTTGATATCTAAAATGAAGATAACACTGCATATATCCTTTTTTACCTTTATTATAGGTGTGTGTATGTGTATGTGTGTGTGTGTGTGTATGTGTATGTGTATATGTGTGTGTATACACACACACACACACACACACATATACACATTAAAAATAAAAGTAAAAATATGACTCTTGGGAATATCCATACTATTAAAACAATGATCACCAAGAGAATGCTTTAAGAGAATAAAATTACATACACACAGAGGTAAAAAAAAGGATATATGCAGTGTTATCTTCATTTTAGATGTCAAAAGGGTCTCTCTCTCTCCCTCCCTCTCTATCTGCCCTTGGTCTGCCACTCCTCTTCCCCCACTCTCTCTCTCCCCTCTCTCTCTCTTTCTCTCTCTCTCTTTCTCCCCCCCTCCTATCTGCTGCTCACCTGGCAAGCTTCAAGCTGTTGTCCAACAACCTCCGGGGTAGGCAACCTCGTCTCTTTTATGACTCATGGACTTCAACTCCCAGAATTCCTGAGTCAGCCTAGCTGGGCTAGCTAGCTCTCTCCTGCCCTTCTTGCTTCCTGCTTCCTTCAGAGACGCAGCAAAGGGAGGAGCTCCGCCTAGAAAGCTTTTCAGCTCCTCGGAGAACACTGTGAGTGCACTCTCTTTTACACATACACACACACAAAACACACACACACACACCCAGACACACACACAGAGAGAGAGAGAGAGAGAGAGAGAGAGAGAGAGAGAGAGAAGCAGGGAAGTGCAATTGCCTCTCTCTGTCTCTGTCTCTCTCTGCAAAGGCAGAGGAGGCTGGGAGCCACAGGGGAAGGCTCAAAGAGCCGCATGCGGCTCCGGAGCCGCAGGTTGCCGACCTGTGGCCTAAGCCAACCTTTCTGCCTCCCCTTTCCAGTACCAGCTCCGACTGCTTAAAAGAGAGCAGATATTGGCCCTATCATCATCCCGGATCTAATATTGCAAAAGAATGAGTAATGTTCCATTAATTTGATTCTTTGGAGTTGTTTAGCCAATATTTTCTCAAGTCATTTTTTCCTGGGGTCATATAAATTAGGACTATCAATTCTCCCCCTGTAAGCGTTCAAAGGGCATTGCTCAGATTGTCTATTCCAGGAGTCAGCAAATTACAACCTGTGGACCAAATCCAGCCCACCTGTTATTATACAGCCCACAAGCTAAATGGACAGACAGATTGCCAGGCTGGAGCCTCAGCTGAGCTCCCAGGACAGGATTGGGCCAAGGCTGGGGATCCTGGGTCCAGCAGCAGTCTATCTACAGCAGTGTTTCTCACCCTTGACAATTTTAAGGCATGTGGACTTCAACTCCCAGAATTCCACAGCCAGCAATGCTGGCTGTGGAATTCTGGGAGTTGAAGTCCACATGCCTTAAAATTGTCAAGGGTGAGAAACACTGATCTACAGCCTCTTGCTGGAGAATTGGTGCTATCTAATGCCTGCCTTGCTGTTTGGCCTGCAGTCCTGCCAACCGCATATAAAGAGGGCAGGATTGGCCCCTCACAAAAAGAGTTTGCCAACTTTTGTTCTAGACTACCGGTAATAATGGAACCCATGAAAATCTTGAATTCTAAAAAAAAATAATACAGAAATTGAAATGAACTTTCGAATATGGTTCAAACTAGCTCCCCAAACCACAGCAACATCTTGGCATAATAGATATATTAAGATCAGAAAATTTACACCATGAACCCTCCCTCTCAGTGTTCCCCCCCCACACCTTTGCTCTCTAAGTCATCCATACCAAGGTGAAGTGTTAATGCTTCACTCAGATTCATGGCCAGTTTCCAATTTAGGTAGCTTCAAATTTCACCCTTCAACTCAGTTGAGTGATTGCATTAAGATTAGGAGATATTTACTTAAAAAAAAAAAAGATTTGGAGATTTTTTTGGGGGGGGGGAGGAAAGGGCAGAAATATGTTTCGCTCACACTTCAGCAAGTGTGTGATGCTGCAGAAATAACAAGTCAACCTACTTGTAAATAGACATGAAGAAACAACTAGAAATACCCACACAAGATGTAGACTCCTAACTTATCATCAAACAAGACATTTTTGAACATGCACGCATGTAAGAATGTATTTGCATCATAGTAGGGACATTCCTTAGGCTTTTAACTTTACTGTCTTCATTTGGGGGGAAAGTACGGATCCTAGTCTAACAGAATAAGAGTTGGACGGGACCTTGGAGATCTTCTAATCCAAACCCCTGCTCAGGCAGGAAACCCTATACCAGTTCAAATAGCTGTACAATCTCTTCTTAAAAATATCCATTTTTGAAGCCCCCACAATTTCTGGAGGCAAGTCGTTCCCCTGATTAATTGTTCTAACTGTCTATGTTACTATTAGTAGACTATCATTCCTCTTTAGGATGAATTAGTACCAGTACAGTGGTGACAATATGGTCACCATCTGCAGCAATCTAACAGAATAGAATAGAATAAAAACTCTGTCACACTCCTGCATTTAGTGTCATTTCACAGTTGTTTGCAGATTTCTGGAACGAAGACATTTTGTGCTCTGGTATTCCAGATTTAGATATATTTCGTAACTCTTCCTCCCACAGTGGGAACTACTTTTATAGATGCAGCCTAGCTGTCAAACGCTTTTATAAGGGAAGAGAAATTCCACCTGAGCTATAAACAGTGTTTGGAGCAAGGAAATGGTTTTTTTATTTATTGAAAAACACTAACTACTGTTAAGTATCTCTTCTGAGAAAGCAAGTGAAGGATATAATTATCCTAAATAAATAAGTAAGAGTAAAGTAGATGTGACACTGTGTGAACACAATTAACATTCAATGTTTTCTATTTTTAAGTCTCTCTTAGGCAGTCCTCCCATTGCACATATTTATAAATATATATTATGTATCTTCTAGCGGGCCTACCCAAGGTTTTATGCTGCTAATCTAAAATTATTTTAAAATGTGCTTTCATTAAAAAACATTAGCATTCATTATTTTCTATTGATGTACCTAAGTTCCAGTCAATATGTGCTTCTAATCTGTCATTATAGTACGGTATGTGATTTTTAACCCTTCCCTTTAAATCAGTGGTTCCCAACTGTTTCTATACTCCGCATCCCTAGGACGCTTCCGATATATTCTTGCACCCCTTACAAAAGTTCAAAATAACAACAACGGATTATGCATATACACTATAATTTTGAAAACCCAAGTTTCTGCACCCCCTGAAATATCTCACACCCCCAGTTGGGAACCTCTGCTTTAAATGTTGATGTTGACCTGTCATTCTTAAGAGTGCTGGATTCAGGAAAAAGGAACTGATTGGCGGAAAACACTGTGCAAGTTTCAAGGAATCTTGTGGTCACGGATAGCACTGAAGAGCCTTCCCAATGCTGGCACTTCCAGATGTGATGGACAGCGCCCCCAATTTCTACGGGAGTTGCAACCCCCCCCCCATTCTTATTTATAACTTCACTTGGAAAGCCTGCTCCAAGGCCGTCTCCCAAAGAAAGACTGGGCATAACAGCTTAATTGCACAAGGCAGCAGATTTCTGCACGCTGCCTCTTCTGTGTGGCACTTTTAATCTGGCACTGCCTGGGAATGAGGACGCGGCCAGCAGGCCCTATGGGGACCGCACAGAGCAGAAGCCGAGATTGGAAGGAGGGGCGGAAAACGTCTTCATGAAACCACAATGTTTTTCCCAGCACCTGCTCTGCCTTACCAGTTCAGACTCTCCTGACGAGGCCTTTCCCTGAGGCCTTGGCCAAAGGGGCTTCCTCGCCTTCCAGTAAAAGTCTTAGCAAAGCCAGCGGTGCCGCTGGGAAACCTGTCACACGCGCCTACCCGCTCGGTGCATTTCCACACCCCACCTCCTTGTGCTTTTTTTTTTGCCGCCGCCGCCGCCACCCTCTCTCTCTTCGCGCTTTCCCGTTGGACTTGTCTTTATTTGGCGCTGTCGGAAACGCCGCGGGCTGCAACCTTCCCCCCTTCCCCACGTTTTGGGCTTCTTTTTTGCGAGCGACGCCGCTTCATACTGAGGAGGGGGAGGCAGGGGGAGCGCCTACGGATTATCCTGGTGTAGAAAGAAAACGCGCCGCGGCTCCTCAGAACAGGTAATCCAAGAGCAGGCGGCGGCGGGGAGGTGCGGGACAGGCGACACAGCCCAACCCTTTTGGCCTTAAAGTGATGGGCAGGGCAAGGCAAGGAGTGGGGTGGGGTGGAAAGATGCATTTTGGCCAGGCAGCAGATATAAGGGGGGGGGGGACTTTGCAACGGGTGACAACTGTGCAGAGGGCCCTTTCACGGCGAGGCGAGCGGGGCTCTGTGTTTGTGTGTGTGTTTGTGTGTGCGCGCGCGCCTCTGCATGAGATGCTGGAGATCGCGCTCCGCTTGGCCAGGACCGACGCGGCTGTGTAGCGAGCGCGTCTGGCTTCTGCGGTCTAAGAAAAAGCAATCTGGGTCGCTCTATCTGCTGCATTGCCTGCCTGCCCCCGCCCATTTGAGGCAGTGGCCTGCGCCAAGAGCGGGCAGGTCTGCTAACGTTTTGTCCTAAGGCTGGAGGTGTGTGGGCGGAGGTCCCCTTTCCGGAATGGGATTTTTGGGGGGGGGATTGGGTGCCGGCTCCGCCATGGCCCGAATGCGGTGGAGTGTGACATGCTGAACTCGCAGCTTCTACCTGCAGGGAAGGTACTTTTCACCTAGTGGGATTTCATCTCCTTTGAATTGGCATTTGCGAGAAGCCCTCCCTAATTAGGAAAGTAACCATGTGTCTGAGTCATCAGGAAAAAAAAAGAGGCCTAATCGTTTTGTTACTATTAGGGCTTTCATTAACAATTTTTTTAAAATGCGTGTTTCCAGATGAGGCAGCCTGAGCTACACCTGTGTCACTATATATATATATTGTATGACCATCACCTGCTATTCCTGCTTCTGTAATATCTCTCTTAAGAACAACCTAAGACTTTTGGTATGCTATGAATCATTCCAAAAGGGTGCATGTACGGTATATATAAAAAAAGCCCTTGGGATTCAGAGTCATAAAAATGAGAAGTAATGCTTCCATGTAATTTAGCTTGATGTGGGTTAGTGTTAAACCTTTAGAAAGTAGCTCATTCCAGTTAAACATTTAGAAAGTAGCTCATTCCAGAATGAAAAAGCAGATCTTTTTGTCCTATGAGTATACAAATATGTTATGTAAATCTAGGCTTGCAACTTGCAATGACAATTATTTCCAAATAAGGATAAACTAGTTTGCAACTGGACTGTATACTGCATTTAAGAGCTAATATAATAAAACATTACCATTTTGTGCTTCAATAAATTTAATAGTGTGTTAGAATTAAATAGAATTATTTCATTCCCAAATGTGGTGCCATTATTAAGAAAAGTGCATATTCATATATGTGAGGTCACCAGGAGTTGCACTTGCCTCAAGCACTGCTTCATCTCTCTTATTAGTAATAAAAATAGATTATTTTTCAATGAAATTATCTGCATGGAGTCCTTAATGATTATCTGCATGGAGTCCTTAATGATCTCTGAACTTGGTGGTTTGCTTGCAGATATTTCATTACCTAGCTAGTAACATAATCTGCATGGTTTTATTAAAAACCTAATTCTCTGTATATGAAAATCAAAGCCAAAAAGCACCCATGTTTTGGAGACTACAGGGATTGTTTCTTTTAATATTTCATATATTACATATACATATTAACATAGTCTTTGCCAATAAACTTGCCATTGTTTTTATTTAAACTTATTAAGTATCCTGTTGTTTTTAATATTTTTAGAATAAACATCAACAAATAAAATAGGCCATAAAAATTCAGGGGACTAGAAAACAAAAAAAAATTCTCATTACATTAAGACTAACATGTTCCTATGTTTACTGAAAAATGAGCCATGGTCATCATTGCATTTTGTGTTTCAGTCACTTCTTTCAAACCCATTTCAGGTCATCTATTCTGGAATAGGAATAAAACAAGCTTTTTTAAATAAAAAAAGAAATCTAATAAAATAAGCATTATGAATAATTGGGCATCTAACACAAGCACTAGAATCTAAAAAGCCAGGTGGAGAATGAAAGTTTATTTTGTGAATAAATGAAATTATTTTAATAAGGACAACTAAAAACTGGGATGATTCCTAGGGATTGAAAATGTTGTGTAAACATTTGTTCATAATTGGTAGTAGAAGGGATGTGCTAGTTCAAAATGGTAGAAGGTTAAGTTGTGAGATCATTCGAATCATTTTAATTTCTCCTTCACTGGACTGTTTTCTGTTTTTATTCAGCACAGTAACAATATAAGGAATGAGTCATTGTTCCCCATGACTCTAGAGTTGCCATTTCTGGACTAAGTGACCACTAGATGGCAGGAAATAGATACTGAAATATGTAACTCTTTGCTGACACCTACTGAGCATCTATATTTGTACAGACTGGATATGCCACCATGACATGATTTCCCATTTGATGGATACTAAGTTCAGAATCCTAACTGAAATCATAAAAGTTTGGAAAAGAGAATGAAACTACATGAAAGCTGGGTACAGATAGTGCTTGGTTAATGTTCATTCATTCAGCTTGGTCGCTCAACAGTGAGACACAGGTGAAGTGGGCACAGCAGCGCCTGCATTTTCTGTATCGCATGAGAAAAGTACATCTTCCTTCACCTGTCCTTACCACTTTCTATAGAGGGTTGATCCAGAGCATCCTATCTTATTGCATTACTATCTGGTTTGGAAGCATCATTGTATCAGACAGAAAGATGGTGCAGAGAGTGGTGAGGATGGCAGAAAAGATTATTGGTTATTCCTTCTATCCAGGACATAGCATATAAGCGATGCTTGAGCAAGGTCTTCAGGATTATCTGGGACACTACACATCCTCTTCACAACCTATTTTCCTTGTTACTTTCTGGGAGGAGGCTTCGTGGTATCCAAAGCAGAACATCCAGATTCAGTCACAGTTTTGTTCCATATAGCATCAACCTAGTGAACTCTCAAGTTTCCTCTTTTCGCTATGTGTTCAGAATGGACAGTGATTAATATTTATATGTATGGGCATAGAGATATATCTCTGTGTATGTGTGTGTATGTATGTGTATAGCATGAGTATATGTGTGTTATATATGTGTATGGATAGATATATACCTTCTTTTGAGAGCAGGCCACAGAATTTCATTTTTAATGTGGGCCAGTGTGCTCACAGTAAAAAATGTCAATAAAGGTTATTTTATCTTATCCTGTCCTGTCCTATCCTATCTTATCCTATCTTGCCTTGTCTTGCCTTACCTTATCCTATCTTACCTTATCTTACCTTGTCCTGTCTTGTCTTGTCTTATTATGTTATCTTTGGTGACCATTCAAAGTTATGACAATGCTGAATTATACCTGATCCTTGAAATTGTGGCCATTGGAGTGATCATGTGGTCAACCACAGCACCACTCCAATGGCCACAACCAACATGCAACCAACATACAATTAAAATGGTTACAGTGTCCTGCAGTCAGAGGATCGCTATTTATGAACATCACAGCCGGCTTCTCATATCCATAGACAATGAAAAAGCTAGTAGGACGTCACAAATGGCAATCGTGTGACATGCTTCATGACCCATGCAGGATTTCGCTGTTGACTGGAAGGGCCAGAACTGCTATCATAAGTTTGTGCAGTCATGTGACATCACACTTTATCACCACCTTGGTTAGTAATATTGTTCCTGTTCTCAATTACCATGGTTTGCTAAGTACCTGTGGTATACTGTGAAACATAGAAAATGGTTTTTCTTTTTTTAATTTAAAATTCTGGCCATTGGCAAGTGGCTTACATAACTAGATTTCTATATATACTAATACATTATTCTGTTCATAGAAGTAAGACTGAAACATTGTTCTGATTTTCATCATTATTTACTTCAAGCCAAGCAAGCTATAGCCAAACCAGATTTCCTGAAAATATTAAGAAAGTGTGAAGTGGGTAGCATTTAAGTAAAATATTTTAGTCTGCTTGTATGCAGGATGAAAAGGGTTATACTATGAATTGCAGAATTATTTGCTGTTCCTTTGATGCTAATTATCTTTAAATGTTTTAAATATACTTGTATTTTTCATCAGGAAATTTGCCTGGTTGAAGTAACACAGAAATGTGAACAATGCATATTTTTAAACAATGTTTATCCTGGCTTTTTTTTCTTTTCATGATTTTAAATAATTATGAGTTAATTATGAGTTGGAATAAGTACTGGTAAAAAGTTTTTCTATTAACTTTCAAAATAGTCTTGCACATACGTTTTTATGTTTATTTGAATTCTGAATGGAACAGAAGACATTATGGACTTGCCATTCATTCATTCATTCTTCTTTGACTCATTAAATTCTATTAACTATATATAGACTTTCCAGAGTTGTCAAGTCAGGTGGCATACAAATTTCATGAATGAATGAATGATATACTGAAATATATGCTGTTACTGGATATTAACAGTATTTGCTTCCTTCCAGTAATTGGATTTGTGGCATTAATTAATTGGATTGTAAGCACTTCAGAATATTTGATCAGTGCATGGCCAAAGAGATCCTCTGTACTTTACATAACTATTGATAGAGAAGATACTTAAAATGTTGCATTTTATTGGCTGCAAAGAGAAAATAAAACAAATAAAAAAATAAGCATCTGTGTATGGTGATTCAAAAAAGTAGCACTAAATGTTATATGGATAATTAGAAAAACTGTTGCCTTGGTAACTTTAAATCAGCCATTTTTTTCCAAAATACTCTGGTTGTTATGGCATCAAAAGTTATTACATCCATATGTGAAAAAAACCTTCTTTCCTTCTTCCTTCCTTCCTCATATGAATATGTGTATCCAACATTGGTATTCTAAAGCAGGAATGTCCAGATTTTAATCTTAAGGCTTTTTAACAGGAAGAAACTCCTGTCCCACCAAAACTGTGAGATATATTACAAGCCCACCCCTATTTGTTTCTTGATACTGTTGATGATTAAATCAGTCTCGGGGGAAAAACTTGCTTAGTTGAATTTGCAGATGTCTTGTGGACTTGAAAAAGGTCTCATGGGCTTTAGGCATTATTTTAAAAATATCCTTGGGTTTCTAGCATTTGATGGAATTATAAGAGAAGGTTAAAAATGCTTATTGGGGAAAATGGATTTGCATAACAACTGCTGCGTTCATTTAATAACCATTGTAAGGAATGGTGATTACTTACCTCGACTTACAACTGCAACAATTCATTACCATAATTCTAGTCTCAATTCCTGCTGTCAAGTCAGGATCTACCTATAATGTAAATAACATCTAACACATTTTACATTCTTGAGATGTTTCCAGCTGTCAGAGCATATTTGGGGACACTTCTTTCTAATTTCCATTGAAAACAAATTGAAAAAAAAAGTGAAGTCACAAGAAAAGGATATGCAGAAATTACGGATAGCGATAATTACCTTATTTACAGTAGTTATTAGCTAAATTGTTGGGAGATCACACAGACCTTCTTGCATTCATGAGGTGGTTAACACATTTAATGTGATTTTAAAAACAGTTTAATCGAGGTGAAAGCTTAAGTTGTGGAGTTTAGCCAAGGCTGGATATTTTCTCCATATGTTCTACTTCTAAGATGTTAACTTGACGTGAAGTGTTAATTTAAAAAGAAAAAAGATGCAATTTGGCAACATTTATTCATTTCCACGTGCAGGGCTGTCTGTGGTGACGGTCATTGGTTTCAGAATAGTGGGCATGGCTGGGTGATTTAGCCCCACCCCTTTTTACATGTGTACAATGCATGAATGCTCTTTTAAAAAAGACTGAGTTTTGATTGCCTCTTCATGCATGGCATTTTGAAGCGAGTGATTGACACTGCAGATAGCCCTGAGTTTGGAAGAGGTATTCACAACCAGAAAATTAACTGAGTTTGGTCTAGTGCAGGAGTAGGCAACTTTGGTTCTTTTATGACTTGTGGACTTTAACTCCCATGCTGGCTCAGGAATTCTGGGAGTTGAAGTCCACGAGTCATAAAGCACCAAGGTTGCCTACCCCTGGTCTAGTGGTTAAGGCACCAGACTAGAAAGCAAGAGACTGTGAGTTCAAGCCTTACCTTAGCCATGAAAGCAGGCCAGGTAACCTTGAGCCCCTCACTCTCTCAATTTCCCTCACAGGGTTGTTTTTGTAGGGAAAATAGGAGGAAGGTCTGTTTAATGTGTTCACCACCTTGAGTTATCTGTAAAAATAATAAAAGAGTGTGTGTGTGTATGTAAAAATATAATTTCATGGTTCTCTAAAATCTACACTTCTCATACAACAGCTAGTATTATATGTGTATCTCCTTTTTTTCAGAATGGCAGAGGTGGCTTTGATAGAAAGGTTGGAAAAAGCTGTAATTAGGCTTGAATCATTGTTATCAGAATCACATAGAGCTGCTGGAACTATCAATGGAATCAATGGAGGTATGATTTTATTGTTTCAGAAACTATTTTTTATTTGGTTGAAAAGTGAACACCTAAATGTCCTGTGGTGGTAACATTTGTTCTGAAAGAAAGCTAAAAGATAATCAATCAGTTCCATCATATTTTTAAATTACCTATATGGAATATTAATCTTTCATTTTAATCAAAGTTTTATGTTCTGCAGAAAAGATGTGTAATTCATCTATTATCCACATTATTGATGTTTTAAATTTTTCTCCATATTTCAACATTACTGTTTTGATTGCTACAAATAATTTACTGTCCAGTAAAACAAAAATTAGCAGAAATGTTCTGTGTTGCAAAAATGAAAATACCTATTTTCCACTTTACCAAATTTTGACATTGGATTAAAAATGTGCTTGGGTCACTAAAAGTAGTTTAAGGGTTATTTTTATTTTGGGTTGGGGTTTTTTTTGTTTTTGTTTTTTTGATACTTTTTTCCCATTGGGGTCTTTTCCATTGTATTTCTATAGTCCATCTCAAGAAGCACGTAGTTGTCTGATAACTTAGAAAAAAAACACAGTTAACAAACTACTGATCCAGTGAACCTGCAAGTGATAGATTACAGTACAATACAATCAGCTCTTTTAGCTTTACAGTACTGTAATACTTTATAACAATTATACATGCTTTGGTGTCTCAATTTGCAGATCATAGACATTCAAAATAAAACTTTTCATAATGTCAGCAGTAAGGTGCTTTCCTCCAATCTCTGAGTTAGCAGAAAAGAATATCAGTGGAGAAAGTGCTGTACCTGCTGATTACCTCTGCCTTGCCTTAGACTCAGAACCAATTACTGTTGTCCACACTCAGTTCAGTGTGGGATAACTTCAAGGTATCAGTTGCTGGGTGACTTGCCATCCCTTCCCCTTTAATCTAGTGTCCTCAGTCTATACCAGGGGTCTTCAAACTTTTATGATTTGTGGACTTCAACTCCCAGAATTCCTCAGCTAACGTGCCTGACTGAGGAATTCTGGGAGTTGAAGTCCACAAGTCATAAAAGGGCCAGGTTTGAAGAGCCCTGGTCTATAGGCATGAAAACCAACCACCAATCATGTGTTGGGGGAGTGCTGAGTGTTCAGGTATTGTTGTTGTTGTTTTTTGTCACTTAATGTGTATTTGATTTTTCATTGTGGATACTTTCTTGGACTTTGTTTTTGCTAAAAATAGAGGCTTCTGCTTCAAGGCCTTATAGCTTACATACACAAGGCCAATTTGTCACATCATTTTCTGCTAAGGCTAAGGAAGCAGGACTGTGTGTGGAGAATTTCCTCCACCTACTGCAACTCTTAACTGAGATTCCCTGCTGCTGAAATGGCCAATTCTCTTTATCAAGAACTGGCAATCGCATTTTTTTTAAAAAAAATAATAATTAAAAAAATATATTTTTTTAAAAAATGTATAGTTTCAAGCTGTTATCCAAATCCTCCAGAAATTTTCTATCGTATTATTTCCACACTGGGGCTTTCAGTAGTTAGAAGAACAATGGAGGAAGAGACCCTGAAAAATTTAGAAAGGGAATCTCACTGCTAGTGATAATCTGCAGGGCCTCCTCTTTTCTCCCATGACTGATTCAGAGCAGCCCGAAAGGTCCATGTTTTGCTTGCATTAGGAATCAGCGCAGTCCTTCCAATTCCATTTCTTCCTAATGGTCAAAGGTCTAGCCTGACAATAGGAGACTTTAAGAAGCAATAGTTCATATTCCTGACACTTGCTTCTGGGTCTCCATAATGTCCCAGCTTTGCTTTCTCTTCATCTCTGGGATGGGAACCTTCATAGCTTGAGGCTTATGGAGTACACTTGAAGGAAATCTTCCTTTGGTTCTTTGCTTCAAGATAGCAGTGCATTTAGGTCATTGCCTCTGATGTTGGACAGGACATCAGCTATGACTCAAGACATGTTACCCAGCTCAGATGCTTCTTCTGTGGCCAGCCAGAATGATCAGTTCACCAAATTCCAAAGAATTCATGGTGTTAGCTGCCAGACTTGGTACTATATACTCTCTCCATGACTTTGAATGTTATAACCCATACAGTTGGCTCCTCCTTCAATTGCCAGTCCTTTTAAAGAGCCAATCACTTATTAATTGTCCAGAAGACCTGCATTTCTTTAAAAAAAACTGCATATATGTAGCATGTACAAGGGGTTGACAGTAGAACTGGAGTTGCTTGTTTCTCATTCCAAAGACAGAAGGATTTCTAGAACAATTTACTTGAATTCCACCTCTAGACATGGTGATTATTAGAATATGGACACTTCTCTCTTAACATTTTATACATTTACTTTATCAAATGCCAATGTATCAGTACATAGATATATTGAAATATGTTACATTATAAAGGTATAGAAAATAGATGTATGTTAGTCAACTAGACCTAACATGTTTTATTACTTTGCTTTAATTACTTTATTATTTAAAAAATAGATAGGGATTAAATATATGGGTTCCAGAAAAGGAACCTTGTTTTAGGATTTAAAGATTGGAAGTAGCTCTTCTTAAATCTATTTCAGAACAAGTAAAGTAAATGTTTACATTTTACAAAATTCCATACAAAATTTTATTATTACTCTGTGTGGAAAAAGATGGCACAGGCCAGGGCCAAAATGTAAGAATAATTTAAATCTAGATATTCAGTAAATTTGCTATGTTTGCTTCTGCAGCAACTGAGTTTACAAGATGCTTTCCTGGTTATATGGGGTTTTCATTTTAGATTGTGAAATGAATATAACATTTTAGCCAGTTCTTTCAGTTCAGCTTTCTTCCACAGAACTAGCACCATATGTTGAAGCTTTCGACAGACTCATGAATGAGAGTGTAGTTGAGTTTATAAAGAATAGCAAGATCCTTGGTGGTGATATAAAGACTCATGTAAGTATTTATTTCTGTTTTAGTTTCTAATTATGAAGGTTTAATTTTCACAAAAAGATGGGTCTTCCATTGACTCCCTCTAGACTACTAAAGGTCCAGTACTTGCTGAAATTTCAAAGGGTGAAGAAATAGCTTTCAAAGCAAGTTCAGAAAGGAGTTGAATCTAGAACTTCCTTATTCTAGCCAAAAACTGAGTTAAATGTATAGAAGTCAAATCCACCTTTCCCAACAGACAACTATAATATACTTAATGTAGATACCAAACAATAGCTGGCCCGAGAATGTTATTCAATTATAAATGTTTTTGAAGGAATATAAATGCGAAGACCACTTACAATATTCTCAGACTTAAGTTCGGTTTAGCTAAACTTATGTTTATTCTCAATATTCAGATGTAGATCATCTGCCTGGCTCTTCTTTCAATTATATTAAATTTGCTAATTGAAAACATTTCCTAAAATCAATGTCAACTCCTAATCATAGCAAAATTATTACCAAGATCTGGTAGAATCAAGTCTGATTTTGTAACATAACTAGACAAGATATCATATATTAGTGCAATGACATTAGGAATTGTCCTGCATAGTGTATTTATATCATTACCTTTCTTTACCTCTGCAATACATTTTCTTAAAAGTTTTCTGACTTAGGCTGCACTGCGAAAAAGAGACCATGGTGGATCTCAGTGGACTTGATCCAGCACCTGTGCTTTGCCTTAGCAGGTCAAAGAAGGAATGCTTTTCTTCTACATATTTTATAGGCCACATGTCCCATGCATTACATGTACAGCTGCTTCTTCTTTCATATCAGGAGTTGAAAAGCAAGTTGTATTTGGTTTCAGAAAACACCTGTTGTCCAGAAAACTGCCAGATACACAGGAAACAGTATATTATTTCTTGGAATATGTTTAGAGTATTTTTAAACATAATCTTATGCGTAATTACTGGAGGAGAAACCCAGAGAATTAAATGGAACTTTTAAAGTTAAACATATGTAAGATCACATTAACATGGACATAAATATCTATGTCCAATCTTGTGAATTTAATTTACCCCATGTGATCTATTTAATTATATTGTGTTTTCAGTTGAACTTGGAATTTAAGTGATATTGATATTTAATTGATACAATATATTATGGTTGTTTATATGTAGTTTTTAAAATTCTGTCTAGAAATAATAAATGTTAAGAGTTGATTTGTAAACTTCAAGCATAGGAGAGCAAGACATAAAGTGTTTTAATTAAAACACCTTTAATTTACTGAACCCTATGCTGAAAGGAAAACCAACTTTTTGGAATAAAAAATCATACTAGTTCATATGGAACTCTTTGGGGGCCAAAGGAATTGACAGGGCTAGTGGCAATCCACAGACATATACTCATAGGCATATGCTCATTTTCAACCTACATGTAAAATACTCGTTAGGTTGGGGGAGCAAGTTTTTTTATTCTTAAATGACTCCCCCCACCTTGAATAACAGGTTTTTTAAATTTTGATTTAACTAATTGAATTCAGCCATTGTGGAATCTTTGAGCTCTGGCTTAGCACAGATATGAAAAATTACAGCCTATGGTTGCATATAGCACATGCCAGCAAGTTTATTTCAGCCATAGATCTCTCAACAAGGGTAGTTGCCCAAAATTTGGCTATGGGGATATTTGGAATTTTCTTTAAGAGGTGAAATGGGTGCCAACCATCTCATCTTTTAAAAATTTCCAAGGCTCCCTCAAAAATCAAGGTTACTTGAGGTTTTGCCCGTGTCTGTTTTTGAAGCATAGTACAGTTTTCATTATGCATGGAAAACCTATTGCAGCTGTTGGGTTACCAAAAGTTTGTTTCTTCATTTCCTTGTCAAACAAAGCCAGAAGGATATAATACTTCTTTTATTTAAATATCTTGTTTCTATCTGACCTCAAAGCTGTAATAAATAAATTTGAATTTTGATCGTTTCCCTACTTATTCAGTCTTCTTAAAGGTTTTATGTGCCATGCAAAAAGCAGCCATGGTCTGCATAAATTTGTACCTCACCTTATATATTTGAAAGGAAAAAAAATCCAAATGGGTGATTGTTTTTAATCATATTTGCTGATAGCAAAAATATTATTCTGAATTACTTGATTAGAAGGTAATCGTTCTGAAAGACCGCAATTCAGTTAATAATTTTGGGAGTTAGTTTTATAATAAAGGCTACAAAGTGAAAGCATAATTTGTTATAGCTGGCTTAGGTGAGTAACTTGTAGCCATTAGCTCAATGTCTACAGTAGCTCCTGAAAGGTCAGGGCTTCATTCTGAACCACGTCTTGAACTGATGATCTGATAGATCAGTATCAGGTTTGGCTAAAGGAGGAATGATAGCCACAGTTGTCAAGGGAACGTTGCAATAATAAGTGCGAGTGGAACAAGCGACACTTTCTCTGTTGGACGTGCTCACGTGTAAAAACAAAGGAAAGGTTGGCTGTTGTAGTACAGGTAGTGCTCGACTTACAACAGTTCATTTGTTAGTCAGTTGGTGACTTACAACGGCACTGAAAAAAAGGGATTTATGACCATTTTTCACACTTATGACTATTGCAGCATCCCCATGGTCATGTGATTTACATTCGGATGCTTGACAACTGATTCATATGTATGATGGTTGCGGTGTCCTGGGATCGTGTGATCCTCTTTTGCAACCTTCTAACAAGCAAAGTCAGAGGGGAAGCCAGGTTCACTTAATAGCCGGGTTACTAACTTAACAACTGCAGGGGTTCACTTAACAAATGTGGCAAGGAAATTCATAAAATGGGGCAAAACTCACTTAACAAATTTCTCACTTAGCAACATAAATTTTGGGCTCAGTTGTGGTTATAAGTTGAGGACTACTGAATGACAGGTCTGACATTATTATTAGAGACAATGAGAGGCTATTCTAGGTAGCAGATTCTGAAAAGGAGAGAGCTGCAGGGCTCTGTATGGTGCCGACACAGGACTCACACCTCATGTTATCATGGATTGTTTAGCAAGGGTTAGATAGAATAGGCTGAGCCCAAACCAACAAACTGTGTTAGAGTTTAGCATGATATATGAAGCAAATTATATATGAAGCTAGTCATGTCTCATATCCCCAAGCCATGAAGCTGCAATGGAGAAGGCTGTCCTGTCACTGTTGAGTAATGAAGAATTCAGCCACCTGTTCTGCTCAGAAAACAAGGAGGCTGAGCAGGTGTATACACGTGCGGGCATCATATTGCATTTTCTCTCAGGTAACAACATGTCTTGAGGTGATGATTTCTTTTTGTTTTGCTTTATCCCATCCCTCTGATTCTTTAGAGAAATGCAAGTCAGTCTAGATTTGGATGAACAGGCATGATCAGTATGCTGTCGTTCTAACCAAGAACAATTTTGTCTTGTCTGGGTTTCGTTTCAGTTGATTACCCTTCATTCAGTGAATCGGGATATATGCCGGTTCAGTCTCCTTTGACATAGAGTTGCCCAGTGTTTTTCTAAAGCCATCACAGAGCCATTTATACAGAGGTTCATTGAAACAATTTACACTTTGAGCTTTTTTCCACAATGCTATTGTGATACAATTGTTCATGTTTATTTTGGAATGAAGAGTTTCTATAACTCCTTTTAATGTGCTTGTCAACAGTTTGAATTGATTTTGAATGATAGGAAGGTTGAAGTGATGATGACGTACAAGAAGATAATACAGGAAAACAAATTACAAATAAATTACATAGGATGGGTAAAATGGTTTCCTTTTGTTGCCCTGTATATAATTTATTGGAAAATCTAAGATTTAGTATTGTGAAACAGAACATACATTTCTCTATCCTCTACATACAATTTATAATTTGTGAAATTATAAACAATAATTTTCCCTTCTTCTTTTCTCTTAAATTAAAATTTCACATTTTAACTTAAATTTTATTGACTCTCTTAAATGAGATTGAAAAAAACCCCCACATCTGTTGGTTTTACCTAGCGATGTCTCTCTATATATTGACATCGTTGCAAATAAAACATTAAAAATTGTTCTTATATATATAGGTAGTCCTCAACTTACAACAGTTTGTTTAGTGACTGTTCAAAGTTACAACAGCACCGAAAAATGTGACTTAAGACCATTGTTCACATTTACAATCATTGCAGCATCCCCGGGGTCACACGAACAAAATTCAGTTGCCTGGTAACTGGTTCATATTTATGAGTGTTGCAGTGTCCCAAAGTCATTTTGCACCTTCTGACAAGCAAAATCAATGGGAAAGCCAGATTCACTTAACGCTTGTGTTATTAACTTATTAATTGCAGTGATTCACTAAACAATTGTGGCAAGAACGGTCGTTAAATGGGGCAAAACTCACTTAACAAATGTCTCACTTAACAACAGAAAATTTGGGCTCAGTTGTGGTCATAAGTCGAGGTTTACCTGTATTATTCTTACCCACAAATTGCACCACAAGAAAGCAGAAATAGATGAAAGCAAAAAATGGTTTCTGCAGGAATGTGTACAAAATGGACGGACTTGATTCAGATTAAAATGTTACCTTTACTTCTATTTACGAAGTGCACTGTTCTGCTAGCGGTTACTAGAAACCACACTGTAGCTTGGTTAGAGTACATGGGTTTAGCTAAATAGGATTTGCAGATCAAAGAGATTTGGATAGCTTTATTTAAGGGATCATAACAGTCTCAGGTAGAGAAAGTCCAATTAAAAGTGTTTGTTTTTAATACTTTTAATTCATAGCTTATTCCCTTGCTTATCCTTTTTCCATAGGCAGAAATGGTTCATGCAGCTTTCCAAGCTCAGAGGGCATTTCTTTGGTTGACCTCACGTTATCAAGAGCCCCAAGAGGTAAGAAATGTTGTGGTCCCCTGAAATGTTAAAGTTTTGTTGGCTGGTTTCTAAAAATGGAAAATTGGCATGTTGTAAAGCAAAACAAAATCAGACTTTTGGTTCATTTTATTTAAAAAAAAGTCTGGGTGCCTAAACTTATTTAAAAAAATAAAAATGATTGGCTCTTGTAACGCAGTGGTTTCGTTGGATGTATGCCCAGAATAAAAGACCATACCCTAAAGAATGGCAGATGAATTTCTGCCGGTGGATGTAGGAGTCCTATAAATAAAGTTATTTTTCCCAGTCTTGGTTAAATATCTGGAAATATCTCAAAATTTGTTTTAATTCTCTAGTTAATAGTTCTGATAAAGTTGTGAAGTAAGAAACTTTCATTAAATGACAACTTAATTGCATATAAAACTGACATCTTAGGCATCAGTGAATTGGGAAGAATTGGATCATTCAGTCAGAAAATAAGACTGTTTATGACACATACATATATGAAAAACAAAACAAGAATTAGTTGCTTTTATAATTAAAAAGTTTATAGCAAGAACAATGATTGGCTAGAGTGCAATCGGTGACCATAATCCATTAGACTTTATGGACATCCCTTTAATATCATGACTGTCCACTTATGCTCCAACCACTAATGCAGAAGAGGAAGTTGATGGGTTTTATGATCAAGTTCAATTTGAAATTGACACAACATGCAAGCAAGATGTGCTGTTTGTGATTGGAAACTGGAAATTTTAAGGAGGAAAATGGAGTTGGGTTGTAAGATTTAGGAAACCAAAATGAAGTAGGAGAGCAACTTTTTAAATTTCTGCCAGTACAGTGATTTATTCATAGATAACACTGACCTCAAATCATCAAAACAACACCTCTACACATGGACCTCAATAGACTAGTGCATAGAAATTAAATTGATTATAGTACTGCTAAAAAGTGGAATTGGTATAATGAAATACTGTACAGTAGAGATGCAACATCCAAGATACTGTAGAAAATACTCTATACTTAACATTATTATCTATAGCATTACAAAATGAAGTGACATTAGCACTCTAGTCCTTACCAAGTCAGAAGGCTATAAGAATTAATAGAACACCTTCACAGAAAATGGCAAACAACAGAAACAGAATAATTAAAGTTTGTAATTAAGCTACACCAGCAAATCTGGAGAAAACCAGATTGGAAGAGGCCTATCTACATTCCAGTATCAAAAAGGAGATTTGACAGCATGTACAAGCTTCCAAACTACGCTACACTATTCTTAATTTCACATGCTGGCAAAATAATGCTTAGGATTATCCAACACAGATTAGAATCTTGCACGAGAAAAGAGATGCCAGATGTTCAAGCTAGCTTTAGAAAAATTCAAAAAAACGCAAGACATTATCACTGATACATGCTGGATAATTTAGAAAGCTAAAGAATGCCCAAAAGAAATCACTGCTTCATTGATTATAGAAACGCCTTCAATTATACAGTCATATTAAGCTAGGGAATCTATCTAGAAAAATAAGAATACTAGAACCTCTCATTCTTCTATGCAACACCTATATATAAAACTCAGAAAGCTACAGTATGGAGAGACCAAGGCAGAACAGAGTGGCTTCAAGTTGGCCACTGAGTGTGAGAAGGCTGTATACTTTCCCCTTATTTATTCAGTTTATATGCTGAATATATTGTATATTAAGAAAAGATGAATTAAAAAAAAGATGAGGGTGGTTTTAAAATTGGAGGAAGAAAATTGAATAACCTGAGCTATGCTGATGACACCGTTGTGGCGCAGTGGTTAGAATGCAGTATTGCAGACTAATTCTGCTATCTGCCAGCAGTTTGGCAGTTCGATTCTCACTGGTTCAAGGTTGTCTCAGCCTTCCATCCTTCTGAGGTTGGTAAAATGAGGATCTGTACTGTGAAGCAGTATATAAGTCTAAGTGCTATTGCTGTTGCTAGTGTGATAGCTGACAGTACAAAGCATCTGCAAGCTCTGGTAATAAAAATAAAAAGCGCACTGAAAAAAATGGGCTAAAATTATATATAAAGAAGACAAAACTAATAACAGCAGATACAACAATCAGCCATAGACTAGCACTTAGTAGAGCAGTTATGAAGGCCCTAGGAATATATTCAGGTGTTGTGATGTGTGTGTACCTACAAAGATCAGAATAATGCAAGTAATGGCATTCTATGTGACACCCTATGGGAGCGTAAATTGGACTTTGAAAAAGCAGGTTAGGAAGACATTTTTTAACCTCTGTGTTGGAAAAGACTCCTGGGAATAACTTAGTCAACCAAGAAAACAAAGAAATGACTCATTGAACAATCAACCTTGAGTTTTCGCTCACGGCACAAATAACCAGGTTCAAATTATCTACATAGTAAGAATTGACACCAGCTGGATGGCACATTATCAAACAATTTGGTATCCTCAAGAATTTTGGATCTCCTACAATTCCTTGTGGTCCCCAGGTTACCTATTATTCATTTAGAACAGTGGTTCTCAACCTGTGGGTCGGGACCCCATTTGGGGTCGAATGACCATTTCACGGGGGTCGCCAAACAAGGCTGTCTGCCATTTTTCCCCCCTTTTCTTTGGCCACGCCCCTGGCACCGGGTGATGTATAAGTGGTTGGGGGTCACCACAACATGGGGAACTGTATGGAGTCGCGGCATTAGAAAGGTTGAGAACCACTGATTTAGAACCTCTAGCCACATTGAATAATATATAGGATATGGTGAATCCTCCTAAGTAAAAGCAAAACAATTTTTGCTGTTATTATGATCAGCTGAAATATATATCATAGTGTAAAATTAACACAGCTGTATATGTATATGTAAAACACAGCTGTCATGCAAAATAAATATTCTGTAACGAACGTTCAGCTGTTTCAGTAGCATTTTTTACTGCAAGTGGTATGATAGTTTCATCTTGTCAAAAGCAAAAAATATGTGTTGTAGATTTAGAAATAGCGGATTATAGTATAAAGAAAAGTTGATATGAACATAACAGAAAATACTTTGTTAATGTGACAGCATCTGTTTCTGTTTGTACTTTAAGATGAAGTCACAAATTTAAGCAAAATCCAGACAGGTAGAACAAGCATTAATTTTCATCGGAATTCCCAGAGCAGAGAAAAGCATATTAAGATGACAGCAACTCCTGAAAAAGCAAGCAATTGTGCCACTGAGCTTTCCAGACAGTTTGTGAAGCGGTGGATGAATAAGCTTGGTGATCATGTCTCCACAGCTTTGCAAATATTCAGAAGCAATGTTATAGAAGGGGGGATTTGCACAATTTATCCTAAAGTAATAACAGAAAACAAAGCCATTAGTATTCTGAAGCATGTAGGATTCTTTAGTTCAAATGTAGCATCCATGTCCAGCAAGTCACAAAGAAATGTTTGTTCATTGTGATTTTTCTGAGATATGTTTTTGCTAGCAGTGCTTACATTTTATTCCGTCTTGAAGCCCGTCGTTTCCCTGTATATGCAAAAATAGCAAGAGCTAAGAAGATAATTCCAGCTGGCATGTCAATCCTATAACAAGTACAATAAATTACTTAGCAGAGTGAATGCTTTGTTCCTTTTTATGGTCATGTTCTATATTTGTATGTGAAGTGGAAATGGTCACATGAGAAAACCGTCATCTGATACTACAGTTTACATATACTAGCTGGCTAGTAGCTACTGCCTGCAAAATTACTCTTCAGAAAGCTGCGATTTAAACTTTTTTTACTTATTTGGAATTTATTTCAAATGCTTCAATGTTAAAACCAAATGTAAATTATGCTTTAAGTAAACAAGAAGTGTAAAGTTATTTAAAAACATTTTGGAAGGAGAATAAACTAAAACTAAAGTAATTATGTATAAAGAATTCCTACTAAAATAGTTTCCCTCACTTTATGTGATTTCTGTTTATGCGATTTTCTGTTATGCAATTGATCATTTCCATTAAAGAAATCACCATGCAGGAAAAATAGCCCTATTATGTGATTTATGGCAGTATAGTCCATTTGTTATTGAGAGCCAATTTGGTGTAGTGTTTAAGGCATCGGGCTAGAAACCAGGAGACAGTGAATTCTATTTCCATCATAGGCACAAAGTCAACTGGGTGATCTTGAGCCAGTTACTCTCTTGCAGCCACAGGAAAGAGGCAATGGCAAACTTCTTCTGAAATCTTGCCAAGAAAATAACTGCAGAGATTAATCCAGGCAGTCACCAGGAGTCAAAACTGACCTGAAAACACAAAATAAAAAAGTTAATTTGCACCAATGGTCTAGAAACATATCAAGACTTCCCAAAACTGCCTGTATTTTCCTAGCCAACTCCTTTTCTATCTTCCCTTATGCATTTATTATTGGGTTGTACTGTTGTTCTAGTAGCGCATGTTTAGTTCCATAGTAATAGCAATAGTAATAGCATTTAGACTTATATACCACTTCACAGTGCTTTTACAGCCCTCTAAACAGTTTGCAGAGTCAGCGTATTGCCCCCAACAATCTGGATCCTCATTTTACCAACCTCGGAAGGATGGAAGGCTGAGTCAACCTTGCGTAAGAATTGAACTGCTGGAAGTTGGCAGAACTAGCCTGCAATACTGCATTCTAACCACTGCGCTACCACAGTTCTTCATACCAACTATACTATGGGATCAAAACAGCTGTCAATATATTGCCAAACATTCCTATTCAAAAGGACCTCTCCAGCACTAGAAACAAAGAAGAAAATATTAATTCTGCTGAAGTTGGTTGAGGATCTTCACCCAGGGATAAGCTTTTAAACCTGAGTGAATCTGCTCTGCACAAAAATTGAAGAATGCTAATAAAATTTCATAGTTCCACCTTTCACTGCCATGAGAACCATGCGCATTAGAAAAACTACTTTGCAAAAGATTGAGAAAATGGTTTCATTGTACATAAAATATGAGACAAGGGGGAAAAAGTGTTTGTGTAATGTGCTTAAAATAAGGCTCTGAAAATTGTATCAAGATAGATAGATACAGAATTAACGATCCAGAAATGTGAGATCTATCTATGTAATTTATGATAATTCCTATTAAACATATTACAGCTAGGTTATTTTTTTACTCTAGAGTTTTTTGCAATTTCCTGTACGGGTCTAGATAATTTTTTATAGCTTTGGCAATGAGATAATTTTTGAATCATAGACATTTAATATTACTTAAAATGACTGTCTTTCCTTATTAAATATGCATAATTATTTTCCTAAAAAGGATAAATTTTTACAAGCCATAATACTAATGCTCAACATTGGGTTTTCTGGGTCTTTGATGTCTTCTGGACTACTCTTAATACCAGGCAACCTTGGCTCTTTTATGACTCGTGGACCTCAACATGGCTGGCTCAGGAATTCTGGGAGTTGAAGTCCACGAGTCATAACAGAGCCAAGGTTGCCTACCCCTATCATTCTGCTATCAGGGCAGAATGTTAGAAAAGAAATATTTATGAATCCTCTTGGTAAAATGAGCAGGAAGGCTTCCAGATATATAACGACTGAAACACATTTTACCTCACAAGACAATTCTTCCTGTAAGAAACAAATTTTGAGAAGATCTCAGTTTCAATAATGACAAGAAAACTGGTTTGTGAATGCATGCGTGATTTCTTCATTTTATTGCTACTGCAGAGTGAAGTTGCCATTCTTCTAAAACCAATATCGGGAAAAATTCAGGAAATTCAGATGTTCAGAGAGAGAAATCGTGGAAGCAATATGTTTAATCATCTGTCTGCTGTCAGTGAAAGTATTCCAGCTCTTGGATGGATAACAATAGTAAGTTCTGAATTTTAGAAGTGGACAAAACCAATTTTCTCACCCTTATCTATCATGCAACCTTGGACTGGTTTGATTCTTGTTTCGGACCTCATTGCTTGCAGGTGGTACTATCATATCACCACCTCACTTTTAAAGGTTTCCTCCCCATCCTCAGTCACAGCAGCCCACTTTGTTGAATGTGGCTTCATCCCTCAACATGTGGGGTTGAGGGGTGGAAACATTTAGCTAAGCAGGGTTGGATCTGTTTACTACACAGCTGGGAGATCACCAGGGCTGTAGTCTAAACTGTGAAGCCATGAAAGCATTCCTAAACAAGGCAGTGGCAAATATTTCATATTGCTTCCATATAGCTGCCAAGGAAACTGCAAGCATAGTCCTGAATAGTCACCAGGTATCATGAAATGGCCTTAATTTTCTTAGAGAACAAGGTCAGCAGAATAGACTTCTACAAACCTTACTTATCTATGTTGCTTTGAAATAACGATTGCTTAAAATAGGAAGGAGGTTGTTGCCCCATGATTACATTTACTTTTTCTTTCTCAAAAATGATTCCTGTGGTTTTATACAATGCTCCTGTGTTCTCTTTTAGTCTGCTAAGCCAGGACCTTATGTAAAGGAGATGAATGATGCTGCTACATTTTATACTAATAGGGTGTTAAAAAACTACAAGCATAGGTAAGTTAATACTCCCCAACACCACCTTCATCACACAATTTAACTACTTTACTTGGCTGGTATATCTGAGGTGATTACAAATTACCGTCAGTGGCAATTCTCTCCTTGACTTGAAGGTCAGAAGGGATCCTAAAGAACATGAACAGATAGCTTTTATTATGTTACAGTGATTTGCGTCACGTTGATTGGGTGAAATCATTCCTGAATATTTGGACAGAACTTCAAGCATATATAAAAGAATACCATACTACCGGGCTCATCTGGAGTAAAACTGTGAGTGTTTTATTTCTTACCTTCCACTATGAAAAAAGAGAATATGTTATTGTAACATATTGTATAGTAGTGTTCCCAAATAAGTATTGGAGGGGGGTGAAAATTATTCTTGAACTAAGAGGAAAAAAAATGTCATTTTGGTTCCCAGCAATGGTATATTTCCAGGACAAAGAACTTTATGAAATAAAAGAGTTAGGAGAAGGTTTTAAATATTCCATCTCTTAGCATCTTTGATTCCATAATTGATTGTTCTCAAGAAAATTAGGAAAATTATATACAGGTAGTCCTCAGGTTATGATGGCAGTGGGACCAGGAATCCTGTTACTTAAGTTGCCGTTATAACCTGCAACTTCATGTGACCACATCACTTAGCGAAGGCAGTTACGTCAGTCCTGCTTGCCATTGTTAAACAAAGAACAGGCTAAAACATATGAAGAACAGTTGCAAGAACTGAAAAGAAGGACCAGGGGTGATATGATAGCAGTTTTCTACTATTTGAAGGGCTGTCACAGAGAGGCGGATGACAACCTATTTTCCAAAGCACCCAAAGGCCAGACAAGGAACAAGGGTGGAAACTGATCAAGGGGAGATTCAACGTAGAAATAAGGAGAAATTTTCTGACCGTGAGAACAATCAACCAATGGAACAGCTTGCCTTCAGAAGTTGTGGGTGCTCCCTCACTGGAGGCTTTCAAGAAGAGGCTGAACAGCCACTTGTCAGAAATGGAATAGGGTCCCTGCTTAAGCAGGGAGTTGAACTAAATGACTTACAAGGTCCCTTCCAATTCTGTATTCTGATCACATCTGACTTCCTGCAAGCTTCCTTATTGACTTTGCTCTCCAGCAGGGATCATTAGAAATTGCAGTCATGTGACTGTGGCTCACTCTAATGTCATAATTGTGAGCTGGGTACCAAACACCTTGATCACAATCATGTGACTGTGGGCAGGCTGCAGTGACCAGAACTCAGAGGAACCATTGTAAGTGTCCTAGTTCAGCACTGTTGTAACTTTGAGCAGTTGCTGAATGACTGGTTGTAGCCCAAAGACTATCTGTACACTTGAATCTACATTTTAAACATTTAGTGACCACAAAGATACATATGTCCCAACCAACCCAACAATATTGATTGATACTTTTTTCAATTGGTTCATGCATTCTTTTGAAATTTTACCTAATTTGGTTTTTAAAATTACTTAATTCGCCTTTTCTATGTATTTTAATGCACAGAGTTCCGCTTACGGCTTCTCTAAAATCGTAATTCTCCAGACATGTTACAGGTTCTGAAGACTTGACCTTGCCTTAAAGCTAGCAATTCATTAGATTAAATCTGAGCAGATGTTTTAACAATATATCTTTATAAACAGCTTAAAAAAACTATTTAGCACAAATGTTTACAATATCTGTCTCCTAGGTTTATGTCAGCTGCCTCCTTGGGGGACAGCTGTTCTCTTTTGTTATTGTCCATTATTTCAAATGGTTAGGCAATGTATGACAATACATTGTGCCAACTAATATATGACAATACTTGTGCCAAAATATTTATTGGAAGTTGCTACATATCATTTTCACATTAACTGTCAGGGAAACAGTTATGTCAAATGGATGAATATCAGATGTTAAATGGAAGTTATAGTAATAATCTAATCTTAGTGTTTCATGAATGACAGCAGGAACTAAAAAGCTGGTGTCTGGGATTCACTTGGAACTTGTAAATGGAGAAGATAAAGAGTGTGGGACTTCTTAATTTTGTTCTTCTCCCACTAAAGATCATGTTTAAAAACTAGGGCAGAAGTACAATTTGCAGATAACTGATTAATAACCCTCATACAATGACTGAATGGCTATGCTATTATGCTATAATGAGGGATGTTTGGTTTTGGCTAAGCCATTGCATTTTTAATTACATCTTCCAGCTTTAGCATGTTTCACAGATGGTTGTTGATATGTAATGGTAACAATTTTTCAAGCAGAGGTTGTGAACAATGAGGTGTTGTCAATTTTCATACATAGCCCATAACATAATAGCCAATTTCATTGGGTCATTAATACTAAACTGGCAATTGTGCTATTTTGCTTAACATGTATTCTAGACAAGATGGGAGGCACATAGGCCAATTAAACAAACAAATAACCATAAAGGTCACTAGGTAATTTGTTATGCCTTTTGCAATAAGCCATGACTTCCTTTGATTTGTGGTTTTTGAACAAGACAGAGTGGCCTGATACATATATAATGCAAAACCATAATCTATGCTTAATAAATCTCATGGCTGAGTTCATGTATTGTTTTTAGTCAAAACCTTCCAATGTTATTGCTTAGCACAGCCCTTGAGGAGTGTGGTGGCACATGTGGTTAGAACGCTGGATTGACAAACAGCAAGCTCGAGTTATAGACCCGAGGGCTGTTGTGTAACGGGGCGAGTTCCTGTCAATTGTTCCAGCTCTTGCCCACTTTCTATTTTGAAAACGTGCAAACGTGAGTAGATAAATAGGTACCACTTCAGTGGGCACAATAGGGACATGAAAGAAGCCCCCAACCAGGCGCCCCTGGGGCAATGGCCAGGTCACCGGCTAATACTTTCAACCCGGAAGCGCCTTGGTGCTTGAATGTGAAGCACAACATTTTTGGTTCTCATGGAGCTTCCTCTGATCAGGCTAGAGATGAAAATTGATAGCAATTTCCTATCCTTTTGAGGTGGGAAACATGAAAATGACATTATAACTTCTAAAATAGGCCGATCAGAATCCAAAAATAAAGAAATACACAAAATGTTTGAGCCTTTGTGAACTATGCGAATCTTGCCTACCCCACAGTATTTTTACAAACCCTAACCCTTTCTTGGGCAGATATTTGTATGTATTTCTTAAGAATATTAGTTGTGCCTGCCTTAAACCAGATTAATTTGTAGGTGTTTATTCCAAGATTCCTAAGTTTGTCTTTAATGTACTTGTTCATGAATATATATCTTCTCAACTAGTATATGACACCATCTGAAAAAAGGCAATGTTTACGTTTTAACTGAACATCCATTTCCCAAAGCAACTAGTTACTAAAATTCTGAAAGAATAAAATTGCATTCTGTCGGTAAAAAAGGCTCTAATCCTTTTATATGCTTCATATAATTACAGAGTCATATATTGTTTTGTTCATACAAAACAATATATTGTGTGTGCATTATGTGTGTGTGTGTGTGTGTGTGTGTGTGTGTGTGTGTGTGTGTGTCTTTGGATAGTCGGGTTTTCTCCCGCGTAAAATTGGAAGTGTCTTGGCGACGTTTCAGCGAAGTCTCATTCGTCATCTTCAGGCTGGTGTTTTCGGCTTCGTGCTTCTAGGAGCAATGTGTGATCGTAGCTGTTTCTTCCTTTTAACTGCCAGTGGGGGTACACACACACACACACACACACACACACACACACACACACATAAAAAAGAAAATGTGAAGCTCAGAAGATCATTTAACAACCTACTAGAGCAGGTGGACTGTGGCACAGAGACATAGATCTTTTGTTAAGGTGTATCTTCTGTAAATGTATACTAGTGTTGTCTTTATAAAGCACAAATTTTACACCACCTGTTTTCAAGCATCCTTGCTGCAATAGAAGCCGAGTTACAAGGTGAAATAGCCGATGAGTAAAGGTAGTCCTCAAGTTGCAACCACAATTGAGCCCAAAATTTCTGTTTTAAGTGAGACATTTGTTAAGTGAATTTTGCCCCATTTTACGGCCGTTCTTACCACAGTTGTTAAGTGAATCACTAGTTGTTAAGTTAGTGACATGGTTATGAGGTGAATCTGGCTTCCCCATTGACTTTGCTTGTCAGAAAGTCACAAACAGGGATCACGTGATCCCCTGGACACTGCAACTATCATAAATATGAATCAACTGCCAGGCATTTGATTGTATGATCCTGGGGATGCTGCAACAGTTGTAAGTGTGAAAAATGGTCATAAGTCAACTTTTTTCAGTGCTGCTGTAACTTTGAACAGTCACTAAATGAACTGTTGTAAATCGAGGACTACCTATATGGCTTTTATAGAGAAATATCGCATCTTTTTCGTCGATTAGCTGGACTGTTCATGTGGCTATTTTTACAATATTGGACTAAAATTGCACTTTACAGAAACTTCATCTCTTTACTTTAAAAAAAAAAAATTAGGGTCCAGTAGCCTCAGCAGCATCAGGTTTGCCAGCTTTAGTGAACAAACAAGGGCTCCCTCCCCCGCCACCACCTCCACCGCCACCTCCGCCACCGGGACCTCCTCCTGCCATCGATACAGAATATGCAAAAGATGACGCAACTGCTGCTCGTTCGGCCTTATTTGCTCAGTTGAACCAGGGAGAAACAATTACCAAAGGTACGAAGCCCACCATAACTTAAGCCTCTCTTCAATCCATTCCTCCCAACATGTTCTTATAAAAGTGAAAAGCCCTCGCTTTTTATGGATGCAAACACCTTTATGCTAAAAATGCTTAACTTGGAAATCTGACACTGCAGACGCTTCTGATGAAGATATGGTGAGCTGAACATCCCTGAAGGAGTGGGGACGGCATTTATGATGGAGATGGGCAGCCAGATGCTGGATCATGGCCAGCGAAACCTTCCAGAGAAATTTGAGATTGTGAGATTGCCCATATGTACTCCAGACAGCTCCTTGTGAATAGACTTCAGGAACCCAAGTTTTAGTGGCTGGCTTATACGAGCAGCTGGGAATCAAGGGAATCCATCTAAGCCAGTGGTTCTCAACCTTTTTAATGCTGCGACCCCCAACCGGTCGTAAGTCGAGGACTACCTAACCGGTCAGAATGGGACTTTTGGCGGGCTCAGCAGGGCAGAGACAGCCTGGACAATTCCTATTGGTTTTTGAAAGCCAGTGGAATTAGACTCTATTCAAGAGAGTCTATTCTATTGGCTTTCAAAAGCCAATAGAATAAAAGGAAGTAGCACAGCTAAGGAAACGGGGAAAACATGGTGGACTGCATTGTTTGGCGACCCCCATGAAATGGTTGTTCGACCCCATATGGGGTCCCGACCCACAGGTTGAGAACCACTGATCTAAGCTCACAGTCTGATGTAGCCTGTGTGGACACAAAGCTCAACCAAACCTCGTTTCTTAATCACTTTTTGATTTATTTATTTTTTACTGCTTACCAGATATTAGAACTTTTGGAATAGTAATGTTTTATTGCATCCACTGAGTGAGTTTCCTTCTTGGTAAAAGAAGTTTTAAGTATGAGTTTAAGAAAAATGATTTTTTGGAATAAACAGCAAAAAGGTGTTTCGAGTATTGATTTTGGAAAGTTACAAACAGACTAAGGTTGCAGCTGGATTTGAAATGGACTTTGAAATTAATTATAAGAATCCTTCCCATGGGAAAATGCTTTTGTTTTGAATTCTTTTTAAAAAAAATGATAGGATGGAATTAGAAGGTTGAACACTAGAGGAAATAGAAGCAACTAAAGATTATAACTAAAGGATAAGAACAATTAAATTTGACTTACTGGAATAACATATTTTAACATTTTTTTAGCATTCGACATATTCTTGAACAAAGGACCAGAAACTAATGTTGAGGGTTATGCTTATTAAGCAAGGTGCATATGTGATTGCCTTATTTAACAACCACAATCCCTGCTCTCCATGTAGCAGTCATTAAGCAAATGTGTAGGTTGGTTTGTGGAGCACAAGTTGTTAGTGGAGCATGGAATGCCAAAATCAAAGTTCTAATCACCCCTTTGCTGTTTATTTCAAAAGAAAAAAAATTAAAATCCAAACTGTATTTGGTTTTGTACTGTATTTTATTTAATACAATTGTATTATGTTGTATTTTTTTAAAAAAAATCACTAAGGGTTGGAGGAAGCTCACTTGGTGTTTTCAAACTTGTTGAATCAAGTATACCTAATAGCAGAAAAGCAGTTAATAAACAATTTCTGAAAGGGATTAGAAAAAGAAGCATGTGAACTCAGTACCTTTAAAGGCACTGCTGCTCCCTTGTCTCCCAGAGTTTAAGACTGGGACTGCTGTCTCGCAACCTGCTCATAAAGAACAAGTGTTTGGGGCACTTGTGGGCAATCTCAAGTCTTTTCCTTGTCCAGAGAGGAATTATGAATAGCTGATCTACTCACTGATTCTTTATTCTGCCGGTTTTTTATTCTCCACTTTTAATTGAGCCTTCTCCAGTTCACCATTTTTCCCTTAGAAGTCTACATTCATGTTTTATTTCTGGGGCATATTGCAAGCCCATTTTGAATTTATTGTCCTATTTTAATTACTACAACCACATTTATGGTTGTTTGGACATGGGTTCAGTTGTACATCACATACTGCTTATACTTGGGATTTACTGAGATGTAAATGTCCATATTTGTGCTTGAGAAAAGTCAGATAAATAAAGAGTATTAATTGGGACCTGCCCAGAGTTGATTAAAAAATGGGCAGCTATATAATTTTAAATAAATAAATAAATAAATTGGCTATGATGTAGAGGACAGTCAGGTCAATAAGAGCACTAAAAAACAAATAGCTCAGGTTGGGACAAAGAAGCTATGGTCCTCCAATTGTTAGCATCTTCCAACAGCTTTGGGCAATAACATGAAGGGTGCTGGGAGATGAAAACATCTGGAGAGCCGGTCTCATGATTCTGGTTTAGACAGACATATGCTTTGCCTTCATATCAGCGAAACATATTGCTATCAGCTAGAAACTAATATTTAAAGGCTGAGAGTACCTCTTGCACCATGAATTATCCCAAGAGACTGTTGCTTAAGGTTACTCCTTACTTTCTGAGATACCTTAAGCTCTGCCATATTTTTAAATTTGATAATAAAATCAAATGAATTTTCTACAGATAGATGTATTCAAATATATGCTAATTTATCTCATACAGTACATGAATAATACTTTGCTTATCATATATTCACAAAGCAAAGCTTATAAGTAAAAAAAACTTTAAAAAATTATACTACTGCTTATGATTTTTTTGTAGGGCTTCGACATGTCTCTGATGACCAGAAGACCCATAAAAATCCCGGTTTGCGTGCTCAAGGAGTACCGATTCAATCTCCTACCAAAACCTGTAATTCTGAGTCTCCCAAAACACCTCCTCAAAAAAGTTACTCTCCTGTGTTAGAACTTGAAGGCAAGAAATGGAGAGTGGTAAGTTCAACTCACTTTTAGGTAACCTGGAAATTATCTTACAATTGATTGTAAGTGACTTGTCCATTGAATTGTTACCTAAGAATTGTGTGCTTGAATTTTTTGTAATAGGGTTAACAGTTTTATGTCCTAAGAATTTTAAATAAGCAACTGAAACATATTTTGGATTCAGCAGGTGGCAACATCTAACTAGCCTTGTCTGGGCTGAGAAGCTAAGCAGGGCTAGGACTGGTTAATACCCGGATGAGCAATCACCAAGAAATAGCAGGGCTGTAATTTAGATTGGGAAGTGTGCCAATCATATAGTAAATCTACTTTATATTTATTGTGAGACTTTGATTAAATTGTTACCTGGTAAGAAATAAGACATTTCCATATTTACACAGATTGCATTCTGGCTGAATGAAGAATGAGATGATTCCTTTTACATTTGCTAATAAAGGAAAAAACAATGAATAGTTACAACTCATTCTATTCTTCCTTATCAATCCTATGATAGTAATATTATAGTCATGTTCAGAGATTCTGGTCTTTTCTCTGACGAAGGCTGAGACCTTCATCAGCTTCCCTCAGGATAAGCCTACAGAATTGATCTCATCTGGTGGGAGAGAGAGCTCTGTAAATACTGGTACTCAAATCTTCTTGGCTTTTATGGGTTACCAAAACACAGGTGCGATGCTGTATTTCTCGACTACTGTAATTTCCAAATTCTCTTGAAGAACAGGGTCCTATTTCTTATCCTAAGAATTTTTTTAAAAAAAGGAGAAGAAAAGAATGATGCTGGATTTAGGAAATTCAGCCCAAAATTCAATGTTTGCTTGTAATCGTAAGGGAAAAAGTGATGACATTAACTTATTCTTGACTAAATTTCATTTCCAATATAAGTTGTTTCCTCACCTAAGGGCAAATGTTCAAGATAGAATGCTCACTAAAAAAAAATGACAAACACTATAATTTAGTTATTTTGCTCTCAAGGACTGCTAAGGGTTAAGGTTGGTCATTGGCCTATTTGAAAGTGATAGCAACCGTAGGGTGGAAACATATTACTGAACTGAGATTTTGCTGCCAAATTTTAACTGTGTCCTGGAAGTATTGTGAGATCTGTAGTATGTATGTTGCAGAGAGGATATGAAGCAAATAGGTAATTGATTCATTCTTCTATGCTCTATTTTACATACAGATAGATATTTAACTTGTATGATTTCCATTTTGAACCATATTTCTTTTTTAATACAGGTTATGTATTGCTGTTATTTTTTTTTTCATTTCACCTCTTTATATGTACAGTAACTCAAGGCAGTAAACATTCCTAATACTCCTGCCTCCTTTTTCCCCACAACAATCCTGTGTGGTGGGTTGGGCTGATAGAAAACATCTGGCCCAAAGTCACCCAGCGACTTTCATATCAATGGTGGGACTAGAATTCACAGTCTCCTGGTTTCTAGACCAGCACCCTAACGACTACCAAAATGTCTCAAACATAGTGTTATGTCCTAACAATATTTACTGCTAAATTGGGAAATAAATAAAACAATTGTAGAATGTAATTGCAAGTTATGTTTTCCCTTCTACCCCACCTGCCTTTAGTCTCTCTTTAAACAGTAAAGATTGAGAGGAAAATGCAAATACTACTTTCTCATTAGCGCTAACAGCTAATATAAGATCAATTAATTTTTTTTTTTAAATAATGCAGGAGTACCAGGTGGACAAGAATGACCTTTTAATTTCAGATGCTGAACTCAAGCAAGTAGCTTACATCTTCAAATGCAGTAAATCTACGTTACAGATAAAAGGAAAAGTTAATTCCATTACTATTGGTAAGTTCACTTCTAGGACAAGACTAAAGCTGAAATATTGTGCATATTTATCTTGAGCAAATCTTATGGTGCACAGCAGACCTTAATTCCAAATAAAGATGTTTAGGAATGCACTGTCCATTACAGTGTTCTGGGCAAGCATTTGTTTATTCTTCCAAATAAACAAGCATAGTGTAACACTGCTCAATTCTGCAAGGGGTTTATAGCTGAATGTAAGGTTTTAATATAGTTTTGTTGACATCTATAGGGATAACCATATAAATAAAGCTATTCACAGATATTTGCAAGAGATGGCAAATAAATGTCTTCTCATATGAAAAACAATATAACTGTATAAACTCTCTATATGACCCTTTTCTTTTCTTTTTTCAGACAACTGTAAAAAGTTTGGCCTTGTATTTGACAATGTTGTTGGTATTGTTGAAGTAATAAATTCCAAGGACATTCAGATACAGGTAAACCCATCCTCATATAACACTAGTATGGGAAAACAAATCCAAAACAGAAAAAAGTACTAGTCAGTTGTAAGAAGATCTATCTACCCATTTTTATGAAACTGGTATTTTGAGTGGCAGAGATAAATTAAGGAAACTGGATAAAGGGAAAGAGTCCCCCACATTAGCTGAGCTTGGACTGACTGCAATCAATCACTGCCTTATTAAAAACATTGCTTTTAGTTATTGGTATCCCATAGGTCAAAGAATTTCTCTCATGTTACAGAATGTCCTGTTTTTTCTCTTCTGAGGCAGATTAAAATAATTACACACAAGCCAATATGAGCCTCAGAATTAGGGAATAGCCTCTTGGGGAGATAAATGATTTATTTAGTTTTGATTTCTGATTTTACGATCTTAGGTACTTGGGAAAGTGCCAACCATTTCAGTGAACAAAACTGAAGGCTGTCATATATACCTCAGTGAGGAATCATTAGATTGTGAGATTGTGAGTGCTAAGTCATCTGAAACAAACATCCTGATACCACTGGATGGCGATTATGTAAGTACCACATTTTGGTCTGATGCAAAACACTGAAGCATACGCTGAATCCTTTAGTGCAGTGTTTCCCAAACTTGACAATTTTAAGGCATGAGGACTTCAACTCCCAGAATTCCACAGCCAGCAACAGTATGACCACAAATAGTGTTGTTTGTAACAAATAGACCAGCTTGTGTTACATAGGAATGTGGACAGTTTTACCTTCAAAAAGCTTTTGTGTTGTTGTTGTTTAGATTTTTTTTATCTTTTTTATTATTTTTATAAATAACTCAAGATGGCAAACATACTTAATACTTCTTCCTCCTCTATTTTCCCAAAATCATCCAGTCAGCTTTCATGCCTAACGCAGAACTCACAGTCTTCTGGTTTCTAGGCTGATACCTTGACCACAAGATCAAACTCTTTTTTACTAGACCAAATTTGCTGTGGATGTGTTAATGTTTATGTTTATGATGGATATTTTATTATTTTACACCACTATATATACCATGGATATTTTCAGTGCTCTAAGCAGTCAATGAGTCAAAATGGAATTGGCAGCATGCATATTTGGTAAATAAATAAAATGAAGCATTTCCCTAAAAGTCTTTAATATGAAATTTAAATCTTCTAATCCTGTTAAGTTTGCATGACAGAGTGATTTATATATGATATGCTTAACTGTTCGACAGAGAAAGCAGTTAACATATACAAATGTTGGCTAAGTGTTTAAGTCAAGGAATGTAGACAAATTATTTAGCTCCACAGGATCTTGGATTTGTTGGGAGACAAAATAACTGATTCAGTCAGTGCTGCTTACTAAACAACTATTGGACGGTGATGGCTAATTCATTCCTCAGCTTTGTGTGACAGAAACTACGGTCAAGAAAGTCCAGTACCTCTTACTGTAGTTATTTTGGTTTTCATCCCTGTATATTCACAAGGGAGGAGTGGGAAAGAGACATAAATTAGGGTGGGTGGTTATTCATTATGCTATGGTAGAATTATTTTTTTGCTATTTTTCACTCTTCTAAAAGGAGGAAGAAGAAAAACTGCTAGCTTCCCTGGTTGTTTTGCAACTGCTGGAAGACCCTAACAGGGCTTCTAGAGAACCAAATAGGAGATTTACAGTTATGTCTTGATGGTTATTTACCTCTTTCAAAATCAATGTGCATAAGTTGCTAGAAAGCAATATTAGAGGAGGATTGTTGCCCTCTAGTGAATGTCCTGAATCCATCAGGTTGGATGTTGTGTGACAGAGTTTTTTTCCCCTTACGTTCTTGCTATGAAATTAGATAAAGCACTACCTGCACATGCTGGATACATGAGGGACCCACTTCTTTTTCAACTGCTGTATTGAGCAATATACACAGAACTTATCCTAGCAATCTTTTTTTAAATCAGTGTACCCTGTTTTATGCATTTGCACATTCAAACAGCTGATGATGTTTATGATTGCACTGTGCAGAAATATGTATCCAGAACACAGTATATATGGAATTCCCAAATTAACTGTCATGTCTCATAAATGCAGAGAATTTAAGGGGATGGAAACATCTGAAGAAATGTTAAAGCATTGCATAATGTAGATGACAAAAGACAAAGAAATGATAAACTGAGCAGTTCTGGACCATGGTGGTCAACCTTATTCATGTGCAGTAGCATACAGAAGTGAAATTCTTACAAAATCAAGAGGTAACCATTAGAAAGTGGTACATAAAGTATAAAGAAACTATACATTTTTTGAGCCAGTATCTCTGGAGCTGATGTATTTAGTAATATATTCTGTGTATTATACCACGTGATTGATCATAGCATAGTGAAGTAATCACCTCAATGTAAAACATTTTTGGGGGCAGCTCTCTGTTGGAAGTCCCATCTTGTGGAACAGCTTATTTCTGAAAATGAGAGCAGCTCTCTCCAATAGAAATTAGGGGGGGGGGAAACCACCTGGTTATTCTGCAGGGCCCTTTAGAACTGAGGAGTTGAAAATTGTGGGTGTGCTTATTTTAGGATGTGTATTAAAATGTTGAAATTGAATTTGTATTGTTGCTATTGTTGTTACATAATGTGACAGCAATCTTTTATTATGGGATGTGTAAGTTGCCTGCATTTGCTAGATTGAAGTAGCATAAAACTAGCAGTATACATGACTACTTTCTGCAGGGGTTTACCCAATGTTGAAGAGCTGTGTATGTCATATAATCCATCTAGGCCTCTTAAACTAGATTGCTGCCACAGATATGGTACACCCCTTCTATCTGGGACGGCCGTCCTCTTCTACCAAGTGCTCAGCTTTGGGAGGGATGCACATGGAGCAGTGAGGGAGGAAGGGGACACCTGCCTAGCCAGCCAGATCAGACGAATCAACCCTGGCGATCAGTGGGGTGGCAGATGTTGCAGCCAGATCGCCCTCATTTCCAATAAGTTTTTCCATCCTGATATTGTCCATCTTGCCTCCTTACAGAAAGAATTCCCTGTTCCTGAACAGTTTAAGACATCATGGGATGGATCCAAATTGGTTACTGATCCTACAGAAATTGTGGGTTAGTTTCCACAGGCCACACAGAAACTGCTCACCACGCTTTCCAAGGAAAGTCTGCCAGAAGAAAGTAGCAGCACGAAGAACAAAAAAGTAGCACTAGTTTGCACCATGGGTGTCTCCACGGGGAGGGGGCATTTGGGGCAAATGATTACACATGCAGATGATATTATCATGCAAATACTACAAACCATCTGCTTGTGTCAGAAAGTAGGATGCAAGTATATTATTGAAGCATTGGCATGATGTCACTAGGCATGTGATTTCTTGACATTACTGCAGTTTGCTCTTGATGCCAATAGTTTATTATTGCAGTTAATAGATTTTTAAGAAGCTATTCTGTGGCCTCAAATCAGTTGCTTTACATACAGTATTTTTTCCGCATGGAGGTAATCATTGGAGGAAAAGAGATATATATAATGAAATGCATAATTATATTTCAAGAAAACATGGCATTCTGCAATGATTACACATGCCTGGAAATCATTCTATTCAATCTGTACACTTTTTGTAAGTAACCTGACATTTTCTAAAATATCTACAATTTGCCTTTATTTGCAGATACATGAATGTATAAAGATGCGAGCGTTAAGCCAATGGCTGTTTCATACAGTAAGCCAAATTAATTCATCATGCGTGATATATTTTGTAATATTTCAGTGCATTCCTTTTAATGATTGGCAGGCAAAAAACCAATAACAAATGATATGTTAAAATATTTTACTTCGTGGAATTGAGATCATGTACTATACTGTATATAGCTGGATCTCAAGAAATCTGTAGTTTTTAATGTTTTTTAGAAGTACCAATTCTGTGGAGAATATCTGCTAATGGAAAAGAAAGCAAGCCAGATGTTTTAATTATATTTCAGTTATATGCTTCCAGTATCTATCTCCTATTTTTTAGCATTCTGGAGGCGGACAGTGGAGCACCTGCAAGAGCTCTATCACATGCAGTTCACACTGATCTCCACTTTAAAATAAATACCCAAACTCTAGTGATATCAAATGTTCCAATTCTCTGTTCATGGCTATTTATTATTATTATGGCTGGTCACATAGTCAGCCAGTTGTTTCAGTTAGATTTAGCATTTTTATACACTTACAGAATCCTTCCCAAGGACTTGGAATAAACAGATACTATTTGATGATGTTAGAGGTATCATTGCAGGAGATACCTGTTTCAAGTAAAGCTGTTTTTTTATAATTGACTGATAGTGATGATAGTGATTTTGTCAATGCTGATGGTGTTCAAGAGGTGTTCCAGATGTTTCGGGATTGCACCCAAGGAGTCTTATTACTATTGGTACTATTTTTGCTTTCTTTTGCCAGTAGTTTTATTTATTGTTTGTAACCACTGCTTAAAAAGCTATTGACCTGTTTGCTGAACTTTTAACTTTGATCACTTATATTTCAGCTTACCTCGGGGTCCCATCTCCAGAAACTGTTAGGGTTTTCTTTCAAAATTTTAGGATTGTTATTCCAAAATGTAATATTAATCTTTGCTGAATTTCATGTGACTATCTCCTGCCACAAGACCTTTCAGTAAATAGTAGCAAATTTATAAAACAACCTGTGAAAGCAAGGGATTCTGCAATAAATAAATATAAATTCAAATTCAGCAGCTTCTAGTTTTAAAAAAAGTATTAGAGATTTACTTTTGTTCAAAGAAGTAGGTGGAGTTGTAGATCTGTTTTTATTTCTATTTGTAAAATTTGCATGCAAATCTTTGAAGAGTTTTTTCTCCATAACTTCTGAACTCAAACTGAAGAAATTGTATTTTTAGGGATATAAGCTTGATTTCTAAATCTACATTGTTAATTTTTAACACTGATGTGACATGTATGGTCTCTGTGCACAATACTTAACTCTGCTATGTATCATTGGTTACTTAATAGCAAATTTTTGCAAATAGCAAAACAGTAATAGGCTTACAAAACTACAGCAGGACCTATATTGTAACTATTGCAACTAACATTTTTAAGTGCAATATCTATTTAGTGTTACAGTAAATAAATTTTTGGTATTTGTTTAATCAATATGTATAATGTTGTGAGTTTAGTACATGCCAATTTCAGTTGTAAACGTCTGGCATGAATAAACATAAAATTGCAGTTTCTTTACACTGTAGAACATAACATTTTATTACATTATGTTAAGCCAGCTATTCAGCAACATATAGGAAAACATTGTCATATCCACATTAATAGGTAGGAAAGACCACATACAGCACTCAAATGGAAATGAATACATTTCGTTTTCCCCATGTTTAGTTCTGTTATGTTTTCATGTTTTGTAAAAATATTTCTATAATATGGGTATTAGAACATGAAAAAAATCATGATGCACAGAACAACATGGGTCATGGAAAAGCTATCAGAAGTGGCAAATAGTTTGATGTCCTAGTCTAAAAATATTTTAAAGATTTTTTAGTCCACTATTTTATTTATGTCCACTTCCAGCTCTAGTCCTGCTATATTGCCTCATCATGGCATTTCTGGAGGGTGTGAGTGAAGAACACAACTATATATAATCCTAGCAAGTTCCAGAGCACTAAAGTTGTCCCAGCTGCCCAGCTAAAGCAAGCAAATATCTGTATTGGGCAGCAGTGATGTAGGAAAATTCTAGAGGTGGATGACTCTAGTGACAATGGCAAAAGCATTTCATACTGTGTAGAAGAAAGTACAGTACAGTTGTTATTTAACCGAGAAAACCATACAAATAGATAATATACAGCTAGTCCTCAACCAATTGTTCAGCAACCATTTGAAGTTATGACAGCACTGAACAAATGGTTACAACCAGTCTTCAGAGTTCGGACTGTCCCAGCACCCACCCAGTCATGTGATTGTGATCTGGACAATTGGCAAGTAGTTTGCACTTATAACCAGTTGCAGTGTCTTACGATCACCATTTGCAACTTTTCTTGCCAGTTTCCCCTAAAAGTCAATGAGGAAGCCAGGAGGGAAGATCCTAAGTTGCTGGACTAAGTCTCACATGCACACCTTCCCAGCCACCCTGTGCTCGTGCCATGCTGGCTATTCATATACCCCTGCGCATCCACGGTGTGGATCACCACACACTATTACTGAATCTCTTTGACCCACCCCACACCATTGTTGACCTTTTTTGTCTACGTCTCTTGTGCCCCCAACCCAACCTGCACTTCTGTACCACCCTCGTTTACACACACACACACACCCATACTGCTCCCTCCTCCACTCAGCTGCAACTGCTTACTTGCCTGCGGGCTGGGTACTTGCAGCTTCCTACCAGCTTCCCCACTTGATTGTGGGATGCTGGCAGAAAGTTGCCTTGCCTAACCACTGTGGAGATTCAGGTAATGATGACAATCATGACTGCAGGGATTGCCAAAGCTAAATGAAGCGGTTGCATTTTATGATGGAAATTCCAGTCTCAATTGCTGTCGCAACTCATGGACTACCAGGAAAGTGATGGATGATACAATGCTGGTGATCAGCTAAAGTTGGAAACCCCTCAATATGCTACTGAAGAAAAGCCAAGGATCTTTCAGAGTATCAATGGTAATTAGAGTAAAATCTCCAGAACATCTGATTGCTGATGCTGCTATGCAGGGAAAAAATGGAAAACTGCAAAGATAGAATTTCTGTGAGAATATGGGAGAGTAAAACAGAGTGAAAGATGAAATGAATCTACTCCATTTTTGACATCTTAGGCAACAGGGAATCGGAATATACTAGGATTGGCCATTGTTAGCAGATCATACCATGTACTTACTACTCAGGACACAAGAAACAAGGAATTGTATTGTTTTTACATTCAGGAAGGATACAGCAAAGACAATGCTTAAAAAGTATAACCAGTGACCAATTAGTATCAATTAGATTGGAACAGTCTAATTGGAACAGGAACAGTCTCTTACTACAAGTATCCAAGTTTTGCTTAAAGAAAAAACAATGTCTACATTTTTGGTTGACTGGAAAACCTTTATAGATTTTTACATAAAATGGGGAAAATGTACTTAGGATTTTGGGTTTCAATGATTAGAAAAAAGCTGGATAATAGAAAAAGGCTGAACTTTCTTTTTATAATCATAGATTAAAAATTAATTTGTAATCATACTTGGATTTGCTGCAAAGGAAATCTGAAGCTTCCTTTTTTCTTCTTTCTGCACTTATCTTTTCCTCTTCTATTTTTTTCCTTTTATTAGTTTGTATTAGTCTGACTGAAGACATTTGCGAGTAGTTTAATAGATACCACTTCAGTGGGAAAGTAACAGCGTTCTGTGCGCCCTTGGCATATAGGCATGCTGGCCACATGAACTCAAAAATGTCTTTGATCAATGCAGGCTCCCTCAGCCAAAAAGTAAAGGTGAGCACCATGCCCTAGAGCAGCGGTTCTCAACGTTTGTGTGACGGCGACCCCCGTCACACAGACGCGGCGGCGCCCCCTGAGGGGGGAAAATGGCGGATCGCATTGTTTGGCGACCCCCGTAAAATGGTCGTTCGACCCCAAATGGGGTCGCGACCCATAGGTTGTGAACCGCTGCCCTAGAGTCAAACACAACTGGGTAGGGCACCCTTTGCCTTTTTTATATATATGAATATCATCAGATGAAGTATACAGAACTGAACTGGACAACGAAGTGGAGGTGATGTTGAAACAGCAAAGTTGTGGAAATAGTTCTTAGATAATACATATCCAAGACAATTTAAATTTTTGCACCAAACCAATTTGTGTAAGGGTTTTCCAATTGCTCTTGAAATCACAAAGTATAGTATAAATACATCCACATCTTTGAAAGGGATATAAAAAAGCAAATATACCTGCCTTTTATTCCTCAATCAGTACTGATTTATGAGCCTGCTTATACCCCACCGTATGTTAAAACTAAATTTGGAATAAAGTGTGAGCAAAGCCACTAACATTAGGTAGCCAGCAGATAGCAGAAAGATACTGAAATGAAAATAATTTCTAAACCACCTCTGGTTAAGAGAGGAATACTATCCAGAAAACTACTAGTCCTGTATTAAAATATATGCTAAATTGCAAAAAGGTTACTTGCTAAACTGTGACATGTCTGTCCCCTGAAAATTCATTTGAACTTTAAATTTCAAATAGTTCACAGGAAACAAGCTAATTCTTTAACTGTTAACTATGTACGACTCTGAGTCACCTATGTGAGATGGACAGCCTGATCATTAGAAAAAAAGCCAGTGACAGAAAAGCTGTGTGTGTGTGTGTGTGTGTGTGTGTGTGTGTGTGTACACGCGCGCATGCTTTAAAAAGGATTTTCAACTGAGTTTTTTGCTGTCCCACAACTACTTTTCCTAGTGCTCTCTGAGATATAAAACATATGGCAGCCTGAAACCTCACCAGTTCATTAGATAATCCAGTGCGGATTCAGCTCTAAAACGCAATTTCTGAGGCTCACGCAACTGCTGCCCAGCAGCTGCTTCCAGACTCCTGGCAGAGGCCACATGTGTGCCCAGAATCCTGTTTGGCTCTCGGTTACTGTTTCTCTGCTGGTTTTTATAGCTGACATCCTTATTTTGCAATGGGGGTCTCCAAACTACAGGTAGTCCTTCATCGACGACCACAACTGACCCCAAATTTCTGTTGTTAAGTGAGATGTTTGTTAAGTGAATTTTAATACATTTTACAACCTTTCTTACCACAGTTGTTAAATGAATCACTGCAATTGATAAGTCAGTAACCCAGTTGTTAAGTGAATCTGACTTTCCCACTGACTTTGTCAGGTCACAAAAGGTGTCCACATGACCTTTGGACACAGCAGTAGTCATACATATGAACAAGTTGCCAAGTATCTGAATTTTGATCACATGATCGCGGGGATGCTGCAAAGGTCATAACTGTGGAAAAAAGAGTCGAAGTCACATTTTTCAGAACTATTGTAACTTAAATCGGTCACTAAACAAACTGCAGTACGTCGAGGACTACCTGTAATCAATTTACAAGACTTCAACTCTCAGAAGTCCCCAGCCAGCACGTTTTTGGAGACCCCTAATTTACAAGAACAGTTGCTAGCAACGATGCCAACTCTAGTCCAGGTTATACGCACGTACGAAAAGAACTGTTGAAACCGACCGAACGCAACGTTACGTAAAAGGCCCGCCCAAGAATAGTGCCCGCTCATCCGAGCGAGGATTTCGACACGGCGACGGTCAAGAGACTAACACAACGCGCCCTCCACCCACCCACCCCGCCCGCCGTCTGGGTCGACAACTGGCACCGCCTCTTGCTATCAGTCACACCCGACTGAGAATCTTGAGTAAATAAGCCGCTCGTAACACCTCACCACCGCCCTTCTCCTTCAGATAGCGGCGGGGAAGGGGGGGAAGGGGCGATTGTCTGTCAGCGTCGGGGCTCGGAAAGACACCGGCCAAGATGGCTCAGGCCCTTCGCCTGCCCCCGCGGCCAGTGACGTCAGCGTTGCGGGGAGGAGAGCCTGTTCCAGCGGCCCGTCTCTCCTTCGCCTTCAAGCGAAAGCAGAGGCAATTTGCTGACGGGCTTGGGCTTGCGCTTGCGCAGTACAGAAGGCAGGTCTGCCACAAGCGCGGGCGGAGAAGGCTTTCGGGCCGGGCCATGGCAGAGGCGCCGAGGGATGATGATGATGGCGGCGGTGGGAGCGGCTCCCGGGCCCAAGAAGAAGAGGCGATCAGCGCGGGGGAATACTCCAGGCGCGTGCATCAATGGCTCTGGGACTCGTACTGCGGCTACCTCAGCTGGCAGAGCGGCCTGGCCGCACTCATGGCCGGAGCCGCGAACGCGGCGGCTTCGGTCCCGCCCCCCGGCGCCTATTTCTACAGCAGCAGCAGCAGCCCCTGCTATCACCTCCTGGCCACCTCTCCTGCCCCCGAGGCCGGCTCCGCTCCGGCCCGCGAGATCACGGCTTGGCCGCCGCCCGCAGTTCGACACGGGCCCCCGGCCCAGCGCCCCACTCCTCCCACCGTCACTGCCCCCGCCGGCAGTTCCCGGCGGGAGCCTGGCCGACCAGCAGGTGAGTCGTTCTGCCAAATGAAGACTAGGGGGGGGGGGGAGAGAGAAGACTTGGCAGAAGGCGTTGAACGCTTTGGAGATGATAGAGAGGATGGTGCGAAGGTGAGCAGTTCGATATCCAAGAGATGTTTGGAGTTCATTTACGTTCACCCTGGCCGGTGTTGGCTAGTGTGCGTGTGAAGCCTTAACCCATCAGGAAACACCAGTGACTTCCTACCTCTCTAGTCAGGGCTGAAGTAGAAGTCTGTGGAAGGGAGAGAGGTGTGTTTACTGCATAATGGGGTGACTCTTTTATGAGAAAGTTTGTGGTATCTTATAGACTCATTTACTTTTTGTATAACAAAAGCTTTTGCAGATGAGGATCCACTTTTATCAGATAATAGAATTAGAATAGAGTAGAATAAAGAATAGAGCTGGAAGGGACCTTGAAGGTCTTCTAGTCCAGCCCCCCTGCTCAAGCAGGAGAACCTATACCATCTCAGACAGTTGAATGTCTAGTCTCTTCTTTAAAAACTCCAGTGATGGAACGCCCATGATTTCTGAGGGTAAGCTGTTCCACTGGTTGATTGTCCTCACTGTCAGGAAGTTTCTCCTTAATTCCAGGTTGCTTCTCTCTTTGTTCAGTTTCCAACCGTTGTTTCTCATCCTTCCATCTGGTGCTTTGGTGAACAACCTGGCCCCCTCTGCCTTGTGGCAGCCCCTAAGAACAGGGGTGTCAAACTGCCGGCCTGTAGGCCGGATGTATCATAGCGAAACCATGCCCACTCCATTGCCGGCAATGGAAAAAAAAGTCACGATACGTCGCAACACGTGACATTGCGAGTTTGACACCCTTGCCTTAGGTACTGGAACACTGCTATCAAGTCTTTCCTATTTCTTCTTTTCTTTAGACTAGCCAAACTCAAGTCCCGTAGTCGTGTACGTAACTGTGTACAGTAGCTGAGATGTCATAATTTTGGAGTGCATAAACCCAGATGAGCATGGAGACAATGTGAACCCAATGAGGTTGGGTAGAAAGAATAATGAAGAATGTATTAGGTCTACAGAATCTACAAGTCCCATTATCATAATGCAGCAGCATTGCTCTTGCCATGTAAGAGATTATGCATAAATCCTGCAGACATAAGGCCAGGTTAAACAGGAAGCAGTCATCCTCTTATTTTAGCCTCTTGCTAAAATCAGATGGCTCTTTTTGTTTGTTTTCTATGCATGTAATGGAAAGGAAGATTAAAAATAATAGGATTGCTCTTAAACTTCTCTCTTTTCAGAGGTTGGAAGAGCAGGTTGGTCGCCAATTCACTCTCTTTGACTTTTATTAACAAAAAGAGCACACCTAAATCATTTCATTCAAACTTGGATGGGTTAAAATTAGTGGGGCCATTCTAGAAGTATATGGTAAAAGTGCTTGTGAAGAATGATAGATGAATATAATGAATTATACTCTGTATTGCAGTATGAATGTACCCTAAATACAGAAAATGAAATACAATACTGCATGCAGCCCTACTTTCCATCTCTTGCTGAATTTTCTCAGGAGAAGCTTTTGGTCATGCCCTCTTTCATAAAACAGGGAGGATGCTTGTCACGATGCGCTGTTTTTCAGCTGTTGCTCAGCCCTTGTAGACTATTCTTTTCTTCATTTTCCATTTCTTCCAACATTCCAGAAACGAATAAAAATAGAACTTATCCAGAGATCATTTGGTTGAAATGTTTGTTATTGTTAACTTTAATGTATGTCATTACGATTATTTACAGTGGTTTGTTTGCTAATATTTTTAGTTTGGATATGACTTGTTTTATTTTTCATTATTTATCCTTGTAGCTTTTTATTAATTTACCATATTTGTGTTTATTGCGGATGCCTGAAATGTTGCAGATGTTTTTGTTGTAGATTGCTGAGAGTGAGAGTGTGTACAAATAGAATAAATAGAATAAATGAAATAAAATTACCATTTAAAGAGACAAAGAATCTTACATGATAAGAAAGTTACAATGGGAATAACACAATCTTTGAAATTTGGGTTGAGGAATCTTTTGGGATGGAGCTCTGTTCTTGGAAGGCACATCTGGTGAGTTTTGAAAGATTTCTATCCTACTGCTTCAGCCTCTTATTCAGCAGTCTATCTATTCAGGAGTTGTTTTCCCCACCGAATATCGTTTTCAGTGATCATGAAAGGTTGCAGTAGGAATACCATAGTGAAGAAGTCTCCTTCCATCGGTCCAGTTATATGAAACTGGATTCATTGCTCAATTTTGAATTTTTAAAAAATAACAGCGGAGAAATGAGCAGACTGCTGTTTCCTATATCTGTCTCTATCCTGATCTATGGCTGTAATAAACAATTAGATATCATATTAGCCTTACCAATTGGACAATGGAGAAGAGCTCTTGGTTTGCTGCTGAGAATGGTGGCCAGAAACTGATACTTACTGAAGTACTTTAATGGGTGTAGTACAGTGGCTTTGTATATGGTTCTGCATGCCTGGTAACAGTATTAGTACCGTATTGCTTAACAGTATTAGGTAACAATACTATTGAGTTTTGAATTTTTCATTTCTGTGTCTCTGAAATGAGAGATTCCACATAGGTTTCTCTTATCAGTCTCTGGTACCATGGCTTCTTGGTGTAAGGTGCGCTGCTATTCTTTTAAAGAACATGGCTATAGATGAGATCACCAATTAACACCAAGAGTCTTCTGGTTCTCTATTTACAGTGATCCAATCCTGGCAAATCCTGGCATACGTAAAACCCACTACACAAGGTTGTTGTTATGGGGGAAATAGGAAGAGGAAGGCATGTTGGAGAAGTTCGCTGCCTGGAGTTATTTGTTAAAATAATAAAGGGGGGGGGGGATAAAAATTAAAGGAACAAGATTGGCCCTGTAGTTAGTAAAGAAAGGTTTATGATGTCTTATGAGAAAGAGCTTGGCATTTCAGGTCAGGCCTTAAGTCTGAATGAATTGTCTGACAACAGCATGACACACCAGAATATGGGTAGGGTTCAACCCTTTGTGAAGTCCTCATGAACATTTCCGCTACCTTTGGGAGGGCAGAATTATATCAAAAATCTCATAATGGTCTGTAGAAAAATGTGTAATTTAATACAAAGTTGTGTCCCTAACTTCTTAAGCATGACTTTATTATATTATCACTTGAAATGTAAATTGGTGTGTAAAATGAAATGTTTAATTATCTGAGCTTACATTACAGAGTTTGTTCTGTGATATTTAATGCAAAATAAATTATCTGTTTTTGTTCAGGTCGTGAATACATAATCCCATCTTTGGCTCATCGATTTATAGCAGAGATGGTGGATTTCTTTATTCTTTTCTTTATCAAGGCGTCAATAGTTTTGAGTATTATGCACTTAAGTGGAATAAAGTAAGTTGTACAGTACATAATATGTTTAATCAGCTTCATTATATCTGTTGTAAATTACTATGTTATATATTTAGTTCTCAGTACAGTAAACTATTCCATTTCAAACTGCAGGCATGGATCATAAGAAATGAGTATATATTTTCTTCTTTAAAAAAATGTAAAAGTAAAGGGTGTTTTCATGACAGCTTTCACTATTTGTCTCCTGTGTTCAAATAGGTTGGAATAAAAATTTAAAGTTTTTAAAAATATATTGTGCCCATGTTTCTATCTGTTCTTCTGTTTTGACAGTAATGCTGTCTAGATGTTTTGCTGGGATGGCAATTGCCATGGGTCCATTGATAAATTTCCCCGCTTCTGTACTTTCTCCAAAGAAAATACCACAGAAAATATGGACTTCTCTATCTCCTATTTAAGCTGCAAAGGGAAATTAGCAGGACTATTGTTAATTTCACCCAATCTAAAAAAGACACAGAAAGGCCTACCAGTGTACTAGAGCCCCTTAAAAAGAGAGCCGAGTCTTTCTTCAGACCATTAGTAAACCTATTAAAAGAAAAAAGATCCAGCCAGCATTTCACCAGTTCACCTCAGAGAGGGGAAGAGCCCATAGATCACGGGTGTGAAACTCGATTATGTCACAGAGCTGGGGTGGGCGTGGCCTATGCGGGCTGCGAGTTTGACACCCCCGCCATAGATTTATTTTTCCACTGTGGAAAAGGCCCTTCAGAAGGAAGCGGGCAATCCAGCAGCTCAGGACAAAATGGCTCTGAAGAACTAGTGACAAGAGGGGAAGACATTTCTGCCACATTAGACATTTGCCAGCAGCCAAATGAAACAAAGCTGCCATGTTAAGCCACCGCTTCTGTCAGCTAAAATCAGAAAACATTATCTTTAATGAAAATCAAGAAAATATAGGCAAAAGTTACCCACATGTGCTGAGCATGGGTTGAGGATAGTGTAATATGTTCCTCTCCTCAAGAGACAATTTGTGAGCCGTTGTCATACCAGAGCAAGCAAAACGTATAGAAGAGCCCTCAGATGCCACCTTCTTTGGCAATATGTTTTGCTATTAGCCTTCCAAATTTAAAATACTTATCTTTTGTACCCTGAATATTCTTCTGAAACAAAAAAGTCCACTAAATAAAAATATTTCCATTTAAAGTGATATTACCTCTAAGCTAATACATAGAATAGTATTGCTTATTCATAGTCTCACATATTGTATTATACTTTTGATGCAGGGATATCTCAAAGTTTGCTATGCACTACATTATAGAAGAAATAGACGATGAAACTTCCATGGAAGACTTGCAAAAGATGATGATAGTGGCCCTTATCTACAGATTGCTGGTCTGCATCTATGAGGTATACAAGTTTTACTTGAACAAACAAAAGAGCATCTATTTTGGAGACTATTTTCTTCAAACTAATTTCATCAGTGATCCATATGTTTTATGAACTTAATTTTAATTTACTTTTTAGTTAGGTTAATGAGTTTATATTAACCTCATAAATATTCAGAATATTTATAAAAGCCATTGATATCCAATACTGCCCACTGTAAATAACAACTAAAATTTCCATATGACCAAGGATCAGAAACTGCACAAGGCTATGTAGATAAGAGCAAATTTTATTCACAACGACAGAAAACATTATCCCTCCCATTATACAGGTAGTCCTTAAGCACCATTTGTTCAGAGACCACTCAAACTTATGAAGGCACTAAATGAAGGGACTTACAACTGGTACTCAAAGTTCGGACCATTGCATTGCCCCCATAATCCAACGAACAAAACTCAGGTGCCTTGTACTTGCGACCAGGTGCAGCGTCCTACAGTCATATGACCACCACTTGCAACTTTTCCTGCCATCTTCCCACAAGCAAAGTCAATGAGGAAATGTGCAAGGAAGGTCACAAATCTCCTCCCACCTTTCTCTGCTTGCACGCACCACACCCACTTTCCTCCTTCACTTGCAAATATTCGCACCCTCTTTTTTCTTCCTCCCTGTGTTAACACACATGCGTCCACACACCCCATGCCCTCTTTCCCCATCCTCCTTGCAATCATATGCACCACATGCCTCTTTCCATGGCCTGTGTGCAATTGCACAAAATTATGCACTCCATGGCCTCTTTCTGTGGCCTTTCTGCTATTACAAATACCCCCACACGCTCTTCCCTAACCTCTCTGCGCTTCCATGTACCTCACCCCGTTTCCTTGGCCTCCCTGCGAACACACGCACCCTGCGCCCTCTTTCCTTGGCTACTTCGTGCTTGCACACATGCCTGCACCTCAGCCTCCCTGCAGTCGCTTTTGTCCCGCACCCTCATTCCCTGTGGCTTTTCTGAGCTCACGCTGCACCCTGTGCCCAAGCACCATCTCCCCAAATTTCTCCTCTCCTGGCCTGGCCTCGCAGGGACTGCAGCAACCCTGATCCTTACCTGAGTCTCCCTCTGCTTCCCATTTGACGACTCACACATCTTGAATTACGGTGACATTCGGGACCACCTGGATTGCCATTACAAAGCGATGTGATCATGATAATGTTGCACTTTACAATTGTGTGGCAATCCCATTCCCAACTGCAATCAAAATTTGAGGACAACCTGTAATCTCATTATTTCAAATGTGTATTGTACGTGATTGATATGGCCTCAAGACAGCTTCATTAGTGATCTATCACACATGGTAAAACATATAATTTTAGTTATGAGAAATTTTTCTTTCAGATTATTTGTATTTGGGGAGCTGGTGGCGCAACACCTGGGAAATTTCTGCTAGGCCTTCGAGTTGTGACATGTGATACATCAGTACTTATAGCGCCAAGTCGTGTATTGGTGATTCCATCATCTAATGTGAGCATAACAACGTAAGTTTTATTTCTGTCACTGCAATGTTATACTTATATGAATCCTTAGATGTTTTCAGTAATGTTGTATAATCTACACACTGTAAATATTACTAGATTTTCATAATTTTTATTCCCTACTTCAGCTTTACATTTAAGGATATTTTACAGCCTAACTAAACTCAATGCAGACTTGGAGGTGTTTTTTTTTTAAAAAGTGAACCAAACTAACAATGCATTGCTGGCAAAAAAATGTATGTAATCTATCTTCAGCCATTTGTGAATTATATAAATAGCTGAATAAATTGGGAAAATTATTTATAGCTCTTCATACATATTAATCTGAATTATTTGCCCACTGTTGGGGGACATCATATAATGAAGAATAAGTCATGTTTATCTCCCTCAAAGCACGTTTATATTATTTCATTATATCACATTTAGCTTCAGCTTTGCTAAGTTGATTCCCAATCATAAGAGTTATATTTTCAGTAATTCAATTCTACTCCAAGGTTTGCCTAAACAATCAGACTGTGATTAAGTAATTCAACAGCATTAACATAATTATGTACCACAACTTAAGCCAGTGATGACGAACCTTTTAGAGACTGAGTGCCCAAACTGCCACCCAAAACCCACATGCATCGTCAAGTGCCAGGTGGGTGTGGCCCATTGGCTGGGCGTGGCCTATTGGGTGCCCATGGCTGCGGTGGTAACGGCAGACTGGGTGAGGGACTAAAAAGTTCAATCAATCAATTCCAACTTTGTAAGATCTTTTTTTTTTTCCACAAGGTTGAAATTGACTGATTGGACCTTTTTTTTTTTTTTTTTTTACACACGGTGCCGGAGGCCTAAAGCAAAAAGGTTTTATAAAACCCAGCTGAAGGCCTAGGACTGGGGCGACGGTGCACATGCCCACAGAGAGGGCTCTAAGTGCCGCCTCTGGCACCTATGCCATAGGTTCGCCATCACTGACTTAAGCGATATCACTAACAATCAGTGCAAAAATGTTGCTTGACACACTGTCTATGGTATTTGTAAGGTAAAATTTCCATCCAGAAAAATTAATTACATCTACAGATATATCATTTTAAGAAGATGTATCTTCTTTCATAATGGCAGGAGAATGGTGTTCATTAAGCAAATGCTAGAAATTAATATATCTGTGCAAAAGTAAAAAATGTGATCGCAGAAATGTTGGTTAATTCAAAGTAGAAATGATTCATTAGAAGAATAGGAATAGAAAAAAGGCATGCTTACTGATGTATTTGACAATATTTTGAGGATTTTTGTTTTTAACATGTACCTCTCTATCTACACTCCTCAGTTCAGACAACAAATTCTAGAGATATGTCTGTTTTTTTCTTTACAGGTCTACAATACGAGCTTTGATCAAGAATTTTTCTATTGCTTCCTTCTTTCCAGCATTCATTACTCTGTTATTCTTTCAACATAACAGAACAGCATATGATATTGTAGCAGGGACTATTGTAGTAAAAAGGCATAGTCTCAGATGATACTCAAGGACACCTTTATTCCACTGTTCAAATATACTGGAGCCACTTTGCTGGATTGCTGAATCTCAGTCAAGAACAGTGCCAATTACAACATTGAATTTGCTTTCTTCCAGAGGTGCAATAAGTCTCGGGGACCGGTGCTGAACGGATTTAAGAATATTTAAACAGAGCCAGAACGCTCAAAATCTTCAAAAGTCATTGGCGGTTTCAAAGGAATAGTATTTCTCTTATGAGAGGAATACTAATTCTGCATCAAAAGATAGATTTATTTTTATGAACAACTGAACTATTGTCATTATTGGAGCAACCAAAGCAATTACAGTGTTTTTGAGAGAAATTTACGGAGAACTGTATGCTTTTGTTTTGGTGGATTTGTAAGTGTTTGCTACTTATATAGAAGCCTTATCATTAATTGCTCTCACAACCATTGTATTTTAAATACTGAAGAGATTTCTGTACATGCATGATGTGAGTATCTTGAACAAAACACAGATTCAACATATCAGATATTATGAAGGCAAGTAAAACTAGTATTAATTAACAGGTAAATACCGAGAGCTTTGGCAGTACTGCTATAGACAACCAAGACGAGTTCAATTTAATCCCTGCTTTGGATGGTTTATAAATTGTTTTATTACTCTTTTCCCATCTTTTCCATAAACTTACTTAAACTTTGGAGTTTTCTATAAAAGCATAAAAAATTTAAAGCTGTATTTTATTGTGTAAAACACTTATTTCAGATGTATTTAGCAACAGTCAAACTAAACTTTGAATAAACCAGAGGAAATGTATGCATAACCTTTTGCACCATTTTATAAGAAAATGAGGTTTCTTATTTTAAAATAAAACACACGATTGCTAAAGCAATACAAATAGTGTAAAAATGTAAATTGATACTCTTATTTTATCTGCCTGTGTGCCTGGGTCACTTAAATTATACTTACTAAATAAAGCCTATTTATTTTGCATGATTTATTTTTATATATTTATACAAAATAGCTATATTATCAGTTTATTACCTCTGACACGATGATTTAATAGTGATATTCTTTGTTAGTTTTCTGTTTATTTAGGATTGAATAAAGTTACAGGAGAAAAAAAGACTACTAAGTAGTCCTTGACTTAGAACCATTAATTTAGTGATTGTTTGAAGTTACAACAGCACTGAAAAAAACTTACACACTTACAAACATTGCAGCATCCTCAGGGTCAAAATTTGGATGCTTTGCAACTGGCATGTATTTATGATAGTTGCAGTGTCCTGGACTCATGTGATTATCTTTTGCGACATTGATAAAGAGTCAATGGGGAAGAGAGATCCACTTAACAAATGTGTTACTAACTTAACAACTGCTATGATTCACTTAACTGTTGCAAGAAAGGTCGTAAAATGGAACAAAATTCACTTAACAACTTTTTTTTAGCAACGGAAATGTTGGTCTCAATTGTCATAACCTGTAATGTTTCAGGAACAATGAAACAAAGTAGCTTTTTAAAAGTGGCTTTTTCATGGTTGTCTTTTGAAAGGAGCGCTTTTACTCTGCGTTGAATTTTCCAAGTTCTAATTGAATAAAGTTCAAATGTCAGCAGAAAAATCCACAGTACAGATTTTTGTACATATAACTAGAAAGTTTCAAATGCCTGAAAGTGATAACCTGACAAAGGAAGATTTTTTTTTCAGTTATTGTCACAAAAAAATCAGCAACTTTTTAATTGTTGCGCAAATAATGAATGGAGACTAATTAATCTGAAGATTAATTAATCTGTCTTTGTTAAGAAAAATTCTGACTTATTCTGAATTTAAACGAATGGCTGAGGAATTTATTAGAGAGGTCACAAAATAGATTTTTGCTCTAAAATACATACTGTATTTTATATTTTATCTTTGTCTATTTAGGAATGTAGAAAGTTTGTGTCTTGAAAAATCAGGTATAAATAACACTGTTGCTACAATTCTCATCGCTAACAACAATGTATTATGAGGAGGCTGGCATACTAAAAACATAAACGGAGTATAAAGAAAATATGCCACAAATGTATATTTATAATGAAAAAGATGTTATGATTCAGCATTAGTAGGTACAGTGTAACTAAAGTCTACCTTCAAAAATTATAACCTACCCTGTATACAGGGAAATAAAAGTAATTTCCCATTACATTTCTGAATTATATATCACTTTATCTCAACTTAAAAGTTAGCATTTGCGGAGGGTAGGTAAATAGACTACATCTCTAAATCTGGAATAATTCACACATTCAAACCCCTTTGATGTTGAGAGACACCACAGTTCCTTACGAGAGCAGTAACTGATGCAGAAATATGTAGTTGAATCCTATATGCTAGACATGTCAAACTTGTGACATCACGTGACATTGCGCAATGTATCGGGACAGTTTTGCCATTGCCAGCAATGGGGTGGGAGAGCGGCTTCTGGATGACGCGTCTGGCCCGCGGGCCAGCAGTTTGACACCCCTGCTATATACTGTAGAAAGTTTGGGGAAACTGCGCTTCTTAATATGCTAAGTTATGTTTCACATTAATTGTGAGTTAATATGTTAATTGCTTCCGACGTTAATTGTTATTCTAGCCATTTTTATAGGGAAACTGGATAATAATGACCATGAGATGTGTTTGAATATTAGTAGCTCAGGTTGATAGTTGGGCTATTGGTTTGATTTCCGAGCTTGGCGATGGCTGCAAACGTTTGGGATTGAAGTAGTTCTTTCGTTCTCATTGGCTGGTAGATTGGGTTGATATCAATGTGTCTGTTTATTGACTTACTGGAGAACGAAAGAACTACTTCAATCCCAAAGGCAGCATTTAAAACAAACAGGCACCCCACCACACAGCAACAAAAATCACAACCTCCCACAAGAAACCGGACCACATCTCAACAACAGCCAGCCTGCCAAACAACCCAAAACCAGGCCATGACTCGGAAGCAACCAAACGAACAAACACCATTTGCATCACACAGACGCTACTTAAGCACCAAAGACTCTCGCCCAGCAACAACAATCAGCCAATAAAACAGCCCGAAACGAGACCATGACCCAGAAACATCTGGACAAATAACACCCACACCAATTCACATCACACAAAAAGGTATTTAAAGGCCAGTGCTCTTGACAGACGAGCATAATTCAAAGTGCACTGAAAATATCCCCCCGCCCCACCCGAGAATGGAAATGAAATGTTTGCAGCCAAATCGCCAAGCTTGGAGAACAAACCAACAGCCCAATAATTACCATATGTGTTTTGGTGATGATGCATATACATGAGTTAATGAGTTTGGAAAACGATGTAGGGCCTGATTTGGCATCACACTGTTTTGGAGAAGTATGTGGCTGATCTCCCACTCCTATCCTTTTGGTGTCCCCCTTTCACTTCCTGTGAGTAATGGAAATGCTGAGAGTTGAGTGGTGTTTTGTAGCTGCATTCTCTATCTAAAGCATGGATGTCCAACCTTTTGGCTTGCTTGGGCTGTGCTGAGTGAAAAGGAATTGTCTTGGGTCACATATAAAATGTATAATATAATTAGTATATTTAAATGACATAATAATGTTAAAAGTTAGTATCTTGTGTGACTGCATTACTAGCGGTTCAAGGCTGCATGCAGCCCACAGGTCATGGGTGGGATACGACTGATCTAGTGGCTAGAAGAGCTGAGATGGCACCATGATAAAAGTTAAGTCAGCTTAAAACAAATTGGATGCAATTCTATCTAAGGAACTATGCTACTCCCTATGAATCATAATTTAAGGCATGGGATGGTCTAAGCTTCCTATTACACTAATTGCAGTTATCTAAATATGTTACTCAGACTATATCCGTGAGAAATAAACAGGTGGAAGGAAATATTAAATCCCTGTCCTAGTGAACGGAAGAAAGCATCAAGTTAGGAATGGATTTAGTTTGCCTTTATGTTTCTACTGTCTCTGCCATCTGTTGATGTTATTTAAAAGGCATAGTTTGTGCCTTGCTGTCCAGTGTCACATTTCTACAAATTCAGCAAGAGCCTTTTAGTAAGTACTTTATGGCTTACTATGTCTTTCCAAGCATAATCACTGTAGAAAAAAAGATTAAACAAGTACTTTGATTACTCAACTTTTTGATAATGATTAACACTAATGATTTTATCACTAGCACAGAGGTCAAGTAAGACAGCCATTAAAGTACAAATCTGACATTTGTGATGGACTGGATTCCCAGGAAGCAAGGACTGCTTTCTAGAGAACAAACAGGCAGTGGAAACTGGAAAATTTAGCCAGCCAAAAGAGGGTTAAAATGACTCTTCCCTAGCAGTTCCCACAGTATATCTATAGTTATGCAAATACTTGCTTTAGCCTGGCAAGATTCTCTTTATAGATGAAAAACCAATAAAGGAGACTATTCAGAAATAATTCCACAGTTAGTTCTTGGGGGCCTTGCAGCATTACAGTATTACTTATTGCCCTCATCTTTGACATTACAATGCAACATTTCTTGTATATTGCCTAGTATGAATACATTCATAAATCTGAATCAAATAGTTGGGAGAGCCAAGATAATTTTATTTGAATGTATTACATTAAACCCATCACAGATTGATCTACAATTGCAGCCTTGTGAAAAAATGTACTTCCTTCATAAATATAGAGCTGCAAGTGTTCTTTTTAAAGAAAAGCATTTCTAGTCAAACACCTTGTAAATTTGCTCATTTAATATATCAGCTGGATATTTATATTTTCCATTCTTGAAGCTGGTTTTTAGTTATAGACATTTGGAAGATCTTTACTATAAAAATCTCTCTTCCTAAAGGATCTCTCTCTTGTATTAACAAGTTGGCTTGAAAATAAAGGTTCATTTTTACATTCGTGTGCCTTGTTGTATTTCTTATATACTTCTCTCGAAAAATGTAACTCTAAATTTGTGCTGTGGTAGATGACAAAAAAACGAGAGCTAGATGGGTGCAATCAAGGCATCAGGCTAGAATCCAGGAGACGGTGAATTCTAATCCTGCCTTAAACACAAGGCCAGGTGGGTGGCCTTAAGCCAGTCACACTCTCTCTCAACCACAGGAAGCAGATAATAGTTAGCCACTTCTGAAAAATCTTGCCAAGAAAACTGCAGGGAGTGGTGCTGGCAATTGCCAGGAAACAAGACTGGTACAAAGGTACAAAAAAAAACCACAAAAAAACAAGTGGAAACTCTGCTGTGCAGAAGGCCAATCTGGCAGCAATACCAATCTGTCAGGCATCTCAGAAAGCAATACGTCCCAAGTATTATTCAAATCACTATAGCAACATCCCACAAAACATCAGTACTATAAAGAGCTAATGGACAAAATGGAATCAAACGAAAATGTTATATAAATTACCCATTAAGGTCACAATCCTCTGGGGCCTTGAAGAGATGAGGAGTGAAATGTTTCACCAGCAACAAAGTACAGCATATAGAGAATTATTGATTCCCGCCGCCCTAGAACCTTAGGGAGAAAGTGGTTGAGGTGGGGATTGTTGGAATGAGAGAGACGAGTAGAGTGACTGGAATGGATGTGACCAGTAGTGGTAGATTCCAGGCTCTTCTCCCATAAGTTTGGAATTTATTGGAGTGCTAATTGCTCTAAATCAGGGGTTCTCAACCTTGGCAACTTTAAGACTTGTGGACTTCAATTCCCAGAATTCCTCAGCCAGCTTTGCTGGCTGAGGAATTCTGGGAGTTGAAGTCCACAGGTCTTAAAGTTGTCAAGGTTGAGAACCCCTCCTCTAAGTGGAATATAAAAGGTGGGTCATGGAACCTTGCGATCAAATGTAGTATGGGGGTATATTTCCATGTCAATGAACTGTGGGAGATGCGATGAGAGGTGGTTAGTCATTCCAGAGGACTTGTAATTTGGTTCTGGTTCCCACTGATGATTTTCTTAATGACAGAATGGAAAGCTATATAAAGGTGTCATGGTCGTAGGATTTTCCACCTAGTGACCACAGA